CAGACATATTATATATATATATATATATATATATATATATATATAAAATATATATAATATATTATATATATATATAATTATATAAGAAAAATTTTTTTCGCACTGGCAACTGGACGTGCCCCGAGAGTTCGCGGACTTTCGACTTACCCGAGAATTCGCAGATCAGCCTGGTGAGCGTAGCGATCGATGTTGTTGCAGATCTGACGGCACGATTATCCTGGATAAACTGGGAGAACCTGGGGGTGAATCCGAATCGGCGATCGGTGCTGACCACTCTCGCACTGACAACCGACAATATGAATTGAGCGCGACGAGCCACTCGGCGATTCCTCTTTTCTTTGTAAATACCTTCATGCCGGAAGAGAAAGGAAGATATGGCGAAATCGAACGAGAAAGAGAGAAGGGAGAAAGGGAGGAGAGCAAGGAGTGCTGAGAGAGGACTTATTCGCAATTTTGGTTTCAGTTCACGTGCAATACGAGCGACAGAGCATTGTATTCGGTATCTACGTGTACGTGTAAAAGGACACTAGTTAGTACAATTTAGTATTTGCTTTTGAATAAAATCGATGCTGTTCGAGATCCCTGGCTGTCTTTATTCTTCACAGCTCGCAAGGAGAAGGAGGGAGAGAGAGACAGAGAGAGAGAGAGAGAGAGACTACTTTTCGTTCAGAGAATCACAACATAGAAGTCTTCATTGTACCTTTATTCGTGTAACATTGTCGTCAATTCGGTCGCCGGTTACAACGACGTTCGTGTCATTAGGATTTTTCACAGCAGAACGGTTGCTACCCAATAAGAGACGCGAGTCTGGTCTTATCGCATTTATTATCTTCTTTTTTACCAAATGCGAAATAAGGATAAACGATGATATAACTCGACTAGTGTCTCTTTTTGGAGAGCAATCACAATTTGATACACTAACTATCGACTGTACTTCTCACCTTGGAAGGAAACATTGCACATTAAGTCAGAGATACATCGTAACAGAGATAATAGAGATACAGGTTTGTACGATGGATAAGTATACGAGTATTGGAATACGAGAGCAAGTCGGTTAAATCGCCGAATCGGCGCATTAACATCCTGTATAAGCAAGGATTGCAACATTTTCAGAAGATCTCTGGCCTCGAATTGAGTACAAGTAATACTTGAATCGAGTTCAATCAGGACTGAAAATCTTCCGAGAAAATTATAATAAAACTAAATATTCTCGCTTATACACGAGAGTATCTATCATCGATTTAAGACTCATTTTTGTCCGTTTGCACTTTCGCAATTCCCGGTTTCGAGATGCATAATCTCCTCTCGCGCCAGACGCGACATTGGATTACGATTGTCGCCGTTATTGTTATCGCCATTTTTCCTCTCGCTTATTCGATAAATGTAAATCGTACTCTTACGTACGTTGATCGAATTCAAACGAGAATCGATCGAGATCCCTCGTATCTTCCCTTCCTAGAGTCTCGGGGCGGAGCATCGAGCCGTTAAATCGTCATTAGCGTTAATTAACTCGCCGGGCGGCGCGTTTCCGCCGAGCGAAAACAGCGAAATATTTCGTCCGATGTTAAACGCTCGCGACGCTTCTCCCGTGGGACACTTTCAACTGTCGATTTCTCGCCGTTAAATCGATCCGCGCGCGCGCGCAATCGACCGACGTGGTGAAACATTTGAAAGGTGACACTACCGTGTAATGACAGCCGGCCACAGTGCTGCTGGCGAGAAGAGAACATTTTTCGTCGCGCTCGTTCCTTCGTGAAAGTGTCCGCTTTATCATACCCCCGATTGATATCGATTGTCTCACTCCACTTCCCCGTATACGCGAGCTCGTTAACTTTGTTACGTTCCGAGCGAAGATCCCGGGGATTGCCTCAACGATTCGCCGGTCATCGAGGCGTACGAATCCTCCCTCTCCTGTTCCTTTCTCAACAGCACCTTCGAAAATAAGACACCGATAAGACCGGCGGATTCTCGTCGAGGACGCGACTGCGCGGAGAGGAGCGGAAGTCTTCAGGTTTGTCTTCTCTCTCTCTCTCTCTCTCTCTCTCGTCCGACAGAGTTTTCACTTACGAGGGCACTCTGTTATTTCATATCTCAGTCTGGTTTCTTCTCTTCTCCGTCGCGAATATTCAGTTATTATCTTTTTTTTTTACTCTCGACGTAGGACATTTGAAAGGAAACGCGATGAGATGCACGCAGTAAAAAATTCTCTGTTAAAAACGCTCCACAGAAATCTGTGTTACTTTAACATGGGAGATTTGTTAAAGAGTACATATACATACCGTTAAATTAACACATTCACCTTGTCAACATATGTTAATTTAACATTATATATACATATATATAAATATATGTATGTTTATTATATGTTAAAGTAATACCCAAGCAGCAAGATGAAATATAATGTCAAATAATGTTTTCATGACGTGTTATCGATGTTAGAGACGTCATTAAGATATTATTAAGACGCGACCGTTACCTCGCTTGGGCAAGACTCAGTGAACTGTTTTCAGTACAACATTTTTCATCGTGCAGCTAAAACTGCGCCAATAGTCCGAACTAAACGACCGCTCGAGATCGTACAGTCTAGAGTGTAGACGAAGGAAGAAGAAATTCCGACTTTGATTGAGATCGGCCGACGGGAAGACCGGCTTCTCCTCGATTTCGAATATCTATGCTGATAGGGATTCAGGAAGGACAGTCACGTTAACTATTAAGGACGCGATGGAAGCGCCGCCGCAGAGCCCGATCGAGCAGTACTATGAGATCCAAGAGATCGAAGAAATCCCGAGAAAGATCGAGCCTTCGATGGCAGGATGTGCGAGTAAAGACGTCGCCGAGAACGCGACGTACTTTGCCCGCTGTGACCTGCCGAAGTCGAATCCGACCTCGACCGGCCGCGTCCGCGAGGAGACGCTCGACAACGGGACCGAGCTGATCCTGTTTCTGCAGGAGGAAGAGCTAACTAAATATCGGCAACGAGAAGCGATGACGGGTCGGCAGGTTATCGAGCTGAGCGACAGCGACTGCAAGTTGGCCCTTCGCCGGCACCTCGAAATGGCGGACACCGTCGAGAGGGGTGAGGCGTCGCGTAGCGGCCTGGACATGGAGATGCTGCGGAAGCTGCCGCCAGGCACGATCGTCACGAAGCAGGAGCAAGCGAGCAAAGCCGACGACAACAGCGATTACAAGGAGCAGACTGAGACCAGCAGCAGCGGCGGAAGCAGCTCGACTTCCGGTGACACGGCTGCCAAGGTGAAGCGGATCCCACGAGCAGTCAGGAATAAAACGTAAGGGCTGCGTTCGGGAACATCACACCTGAGGGTGGCGTTTAACCGACTAATCAGGATAGAAAGAACTAAGATTTCTTTGTCCTAAGAACTAAGAATTCTTCGATTGGTCAATTAAATGCCATTTTATCCTCAGTACGTATTCCCGTTATATGTTCTGTTATAGTCTGGCCAATATTTATAACGTATTAATCACGACATTAATCTGAACTCGCCTTAGTCGAAAATATTAATAACGAATTCAATCACCCACACTACGCCGGATCGGTGTATGCTATTGTGTGCATGAAACAGTTATTTAAATAAAAAAGCATACAAGCATTTCGAACGATTAAACATCTAACAATGATGTTATCACGTTATTTAACAGAATATACGTTAATGATTCCTATGTCAAAGCATATGTGTGTGTGCTTATGTTATGTATGTCATTTAAATGGATTGGTATTTGGATACTTTATGCGTGGCGATTTTTAGAGCCAATTGTTCCAACTTCCGGAGATGCTTACGATAACGAGTACAGAGCGATCGGGATCTGAAAAAATAGTACATACATACTCCCATCTATAACTGTTATATTCTATGATCTGCTTTTGCCCAATTTCCGCTGTCGGATGACCGTAGGAACAATGCTATGATTTCGAACCCACGCTTTTCTTCCCCTTCCACTACACACCCAGAGGGTTAATGTGATAACACTTGCAATATTTACTGTACAAACCAAACCCGAGATGCTTCCTTACGAAGAGCGTCTGTGCTGCGGCATAAATACCGTGTATCCCAAACAGGTGGGATGTGCAAGACGTCAAGTTAAACAAAGAGTACAAGAGCTGAGGACTCGTCAATTTTGTTATATATCCCATCCTTTGATATCCCCCTATACTTACATATAGCAAAATATTGATTAAGCCTTTTATATTCCCTACAGTAATCATTCTAAGCAAGTCGTAACATACAACTCGCACCCTGGCTAAGATTTACCCGACAGATTAGACAGACCAATCAACAACCATTGACGTTCGCCTAATACACGCCGAGTAAATCTCACCAGGAAGTTGGAACAATCGAACCTTCAGTGTGCATTAATCCGGTGCGTTAATGCGGGTGGTCGAATTCGCTGTAAGATATCGCTGCATTGTTAGTCGCGAGACGGTGCAAGTGAGGCGAAATCCCACGCGGGTGTCTAAGAAGGATGTCGACAAGGACTTCCCGCGGCAGCCGAGGCAGCAACTGTTGGTGAACAGGCGGGAGGCCTGCGCGAATTACGAAGCCGGCAAGCGCAAGAAATCGTCCGCGACGCCTTACATGAACACCAGATCGGTCACCCGTAAGATGTATACCGTGGGTGCGACTTATCAAGCGCCTACCAAGCGGGACGAGACCGAGTGGAAGGAGTGGCCCGTGCACGGGATGCACGAGAGGCCGGTCTATCATCCTCAGGTAGGGATCGTCGTCGATTTTTCGAGCGGCGCTCGCGCACCTGTGCGACAACACATCCGCTTCAACACGAGGAAGTTTGTCCGCAGGTCGGTCTGGCGGTGGAATACCTGGGAAAATGTTTCGTCAGTCTCGACGAGAAGTATTGCGAGATCGTGGACGACTCCGCGATCGAGGTGGTGGCCATCGATCCGCGCTACGACCGACGGCCGGCCTCGGCTGAGAAGAAAACGGCGAAGGCAAGGAAGAACAAGCGATCGTCGAACAGCCTGGTCACCTGGAACCCTTCCGCGTCGACGAAGGTGAACAGGTCTTTCGGCACATGCATGCACGGGAGCCTCCACTGCGTGTTGGGTTACTGCTCGCAAGTGATGGCGCCGTCCGGCAGACAAGCGACGGAGGAGGAGCCGACGGTGAAGCGACCGGCGACGCCCGCGGCCAAGACCAGCGTCTCGGAGTCGACGAAAGAGAAGATCAGCACGGAGAAGCCGGACAGGTTCGCCGAAGGGTCGAAGTTGTTGGAAGGCTACGCCATCGCCATGGCGCACAGTGTCCAGGGCAAGAGCACCGCGAGCGGTCGCGATAGAGCCGGTGCTGTGGCCGTCGGCTCGTCGGCATACGCGCCACCGGAGGCGCAGAGGCCGGTCGTGGAAGCGGACGGCTCGAAGACCGCTCCGTCGAACAGCAGGACGAACTTGCCGACGCTCCGAGGCTACCCGAACGCGCCTCTGGTCTTGCTGAGGAGCTCAGCCGCGAAGACCGGCGAGGTGTACAAGACGAAAGACGCGTTCAAGCCGGCTAAGGAACCGTCCGTCAACGAGGAGACGTTGTCGTCGATCTACAAGCTGTTGACCGCGAACGAGGCAGCCGCCAATCGCGAGGCGACGAGGAACAGCTTTTACACCTTGAAGCGGCAGCCCGCGAGCGACGACCGGAAGTACGTCCCGAAGAGGAGCGCTTCGAACGTCCAGCTGGAGAACTTGAGGAGCCTCCGGCTGGCGAAGGAGAGTGACGGGATGGGGAGCGCCGACGTGAAGGTCAAGCCGGACGACAGGATGTTGACGAGCGCTGCTCCCAACGTGAAGAATCGCTCGTGGTGCACCAGCGAGCCGTCGGAGATCGCCCGGATCCTCTCGGAATACAACCGGGGCGCGACGAGGAAACCAGCGATACAGATCTACGGCGGCGCGTCGAACAGCGCGAAGGACCTCGCAAGCCTCGCGACCTCCAGGTAGATATCGCGATACCATCGACGTAATATTAAAGCAAGATTATTATCACGTGTAGACATGCGAAACCCTTAAAAGTAACTCGCAAGACGAAAACTCCCCTGATCTTTATATCTCCTCTGATTTTCCAAGTTTTTTCAAGCTTCGATGCCGGTATTCAAATTTTATTTATCCCTATTTTTTTCTTCTAGTACCGGTAACAATAACGATATCGGTACTCTTGATTAGATGCTCGTTTTCATATTAATATCGATACTTTCATGGTATCCCGACATCCCTACCTCCAGGCATTCGGCCGGAGTGAGCTGCTTCTGGAGGGACACCACGGCGAAGGAGAACCGCGACGTCTCAGCGGACAGAAGCGTTGGCCTCAACATCTCGTCGGGCAGATGGAGGAAACCGTCGGTGCCGGGGAACACCGGTGACCAGCCGCAGCTCGCCGAGCACGAGCGAACATTCAGCGGTTCCAGGGGACTCACGGCGTTGTCGGAGAGCTGCCACGGAGCTTCTTCGAGAGAACGGACGAAGCCGGGTATCTCGGGCCAAGCGAGAGAGATAGTCGGCGTGACGCGCAAGGACCTCGGCAGGCAGCCGCGAGAGACGCCCGTGATCGACGCGAAGCAAGCGGTCTCGGGACGCACCGAAGACGAAGCGGAGGCGCGGAAAACGGAGGAGGAATGTCTGCGGGAACTACTGGAGAATACAGCGGTGCTGTACTGCGCCGCCAACGGCATTCACCAGGACGATCTGTCCAACTACATCAACACCCTCGACGGCAGACAGAGCATTCAGTGGCTGGAGACTTGGAATAACTCGATCGTCTAAGGAGGGACAAGGACGGAGTCGTTCGTGCACTCGACATCGTCGTCGTTGAATTTAGAGCTGCGTCCTCGAGGAGGAACGTGTCCGTCCGTGAAATAAGGACCTCGATTTCGCGATAAATCGTTGTTTCTACTCGTTCGTCTCGTCTCGTGCGAATATGGATATTATATGAGAGAGAAAGAGAGATAGGGAGAAAGAGAGAACGACGTGTAGATACAATTGATATAATATAGACATAATTGATATAATGAATTAATTATATATCAATATTTTTTGCGATATCGCTGTATATACAGTAAAAAATTTTATATTACAAATAGTCCATCCACATTTTTGTGCTGCTTTTTCTCTTATTTTAATACAGCGGGTGTATTATTAAAAAGTGATATGTCAACAAGGTGAGTGTGTTAATTTAACATATTTGTGTACCTTTTAATGCATTCCTCATGTTAAGGTAACAAAAATTTGGGTGGACACAATTGATGACGCAAAATTTTTTACTGTACATTGTAGATGCGTGTGTGCCCGCGCGTGTGTCCTCCTTTTCTCTGTTCATCACGACGCTCGCGTTTGAAAGATCCTGAGGCTGCTCGCGACTGCTCTTTTCAGCATCGACTTTTTTCACCCGCTCCGACGCCTATATAATTTCGTAATTAATGTTCATTCATTCACTCTGTCAAGGCACATTCAGGCAATTATCCCGATCGGCGAGCGATCTGGGAGGAATTGAAAATTGTACTTTATAACGAGATATTAATAATTTCATGCAATTTGTATACATATATATATAATTTTCCACACGTATGTATGCTTCTGATATAATTAAAAAATTTAACATTATAGTAGTTTTCTAAAGACAGATTGGAGTGGAATTTTGAGAAATTATCTCGATCCATTGCTCTAAAGTCTATTGGTGTTGCTACTTCGAAGGATTTCAACATCAACAGTTTATCTATATTTACGAATATGACATATATATATATATATATATATATATATAAATTATATGTATATATATGCATGTATTAATTATTGCGATGTGACTGTCTTGTTTGCGTAGTCAGTATCACGCCGCCATTAATTCCGGCGTGTATGAAGAGGATGCAAACGACTAGAATCGCAGAATAAACAAACAGCAATGCCACGATGCCCAGATTCCGTTGTCAATCGCTATCCTGCCTCCGCTTTCGATGCGCATACTTACGAGCACTGCAAATCGTCGTAAAAACATTGAATAATGCATGAGCACAAAATGGAGACGGTATCGTAATCTCTACGCTCTCTAACATCGCGAGACTCGAGAATAGATTGATACTTCGTGAGGCATTGATAATCTAGTATTTCCCGATCGAACACCGATTCGCGACGACCGATCTGTGTGAGAGTTTCGAGGACGATTTTTGATCTCTGAAAATGGAAAGAGACGGTAAAACAGCTGGATCCGGAAGAGAAAGAAAAACACCAACATCTTCTCGCGTTCGTACACGTAAGTACTTTTACAAGTACTACAACAATTTCCGCGCGTAATAATCAGGGTTGAGTAATAACTGGTTAATCGGTTGGAAGTAAAGTTAAATTAAGAAGTCAAGAACTTTCAGCTTAACTTGGTTAATTTTAAGTGAATTAACTTTCAGCTCAAGCTAGTTAATTTGAAATGCGCGAACTTTAACTTCTGAACTTTTTTCATACAAGTTAAAATAATTCATCGGTATTAAAAATCGCGCCCGGCGCCCGAAAATCTCATTTAAACGCGAACGTTCTCGCCCGTCCGCATTAATCCCCTAAGTTTACCTCTTTCTGTCGGATTCCGATTCGCTGGCCTCGCTGACGGTTTTACCGCCGGTCAGCTCCTCGCTGGAAGACTCGTTCTCGCTGTCGAACTTCCGATTGGAGCACTTGCTCTTACCGGAATCGTCGTCGTGTTTACCCTTCGTCGACTTTCTCTCGCTTTTCTCACCGGACTTCTTCTCCCCTCTCCTCTTGCGTTTCTCATCGTCGGAAACGCCGCGTCTCGCCTCCTCCCTGTGGATGAATCTTCTCTTCCCCTCGCGCTTCTGCGACTTGTCCTGCTTGCCGGAATTGCGAGAGCTCGAGGTCGAGTATCCCGTGTCTTGGCGATTTTTCCTGCGACGATGCGCGAAAAACGGAGAAAAGGTGGATGAGATAAAGTCGCCGAGTTCATTGAAAGGAAAATTGTCGGAGGACAGCTCGCGAGTGGCGGTCGAGGTTTTTGATACCAACCGTTTGGAATGAGCAACGTTCCTCGGGGACGAGTCGAACTTGTCGTTCTCCTCCTCCGTGGAGTCCTCGGTCTCCGTGTAATTCGCCTCTAGGTCCTTGTCGCGACGTCTCTTCTGCCTCTTGTCGTCCCGCGAACTCTTCACTCTCACGTCCCTGTACACGTCGCCCCGCGAAATAATGCTGATGTTCGACACCTCCGTCTTCTTGTACTTCCGGTTCTTCCGCTTGTTCCTGTTCTCGCTCTGCACCACGTAGAGCCGGTACAGCTGCAGCAGTATCACCAACGTGTTCTTACACGTGAAGAATATGTTCATGTAACTGACTATCTTGTAATGGATTATCAGTATCAGGCGAAACGCCAAAAACGGTCCGTCCTGCACAAATAAAAGACGTTTCGGTCCATTACTGACCCTCTTCGGTTACGAATAAGAATCGTCGCCAAACCAATTCTTAGAAGTAAAAAGGAAGAAAGATAATTTATTACAAACCCAACAGAGCAAAAGTGGACAGCAACATAAATAAATAAATCATTGTGAAACAATCTAAACGTTTGCGAGCGTACCTGAAGAATCATGTTCAAGGCGATGCCCCACACGTCGATGCTGCAACAGCTGGTCTCCGTGCGGACTTTCTTCCTGGCGACGCTTCCGGACGACAATCGCGACTTCCTCGACTTGGTGGCGGTCAACACAACTGTGAACTGCATCAGGGACCACGCCCAGATGCCTAAGGTCAGGTACACGAGCACGGGCTCACGCGCTATCTTGTCCTCCTTGAAGGAGTCGAAAAACTCGATGATGTCGGCGGCGGTGCCGATGTAGACCAGCAGGAGCTGACTGAGCTGATCGCGAGTGAGATCGCCCTTTGGCAACATCCACCGGCCAATTATCAGGACCAACATCAGGAACTGTTCGATCAGGGTGACCCACGTTTCCGTGGAGATCTGTATGTCCGGTAGCTGAATGTCAACCTGAAGAATGCGGATGCGAGTTTGAGGTGAGTAAATGTGTGGCGAGATTCTCATCGCTACATCGCTGAAAAAAAAAGTGCTACCGTTCAAATAATATTTATTGCTTGATCCGAATAAAATGATTACTCCAATATTCCTTGGCAAATATATACTGTAGAAGTAGAAATATAATTACGTTTACTTGATCGTAGGACTTCTTTCTTTCTGTATAATTAGTAACTCTTTTAACGGTACTGACATCTATTAATTAATTAATATCCATGATGTAATGTGCACGTATTAATTATGAATACGCATTAATTAACAAATGTTTGATTTTCGACCATATAAAGGATTATTATAAAATACGATTTAATTATTAAAGGTGCAACTTTATGCAATATGTCATTATTATCGAGAGGATGTAGCTTCTCTGTGAGATCCGTTTATTATTTTGTACCATTTATTACAATTATATTAAATTTATAAATTTGCGAGTTATTATTGAAATATTCTCGACCCTTATCTAGGGGCGCATATCACGATAAAATACGCGCACGCACGCCTAAAGCTTTCTCCAGATGCTTCAAGTCACTGGCTGCCAAATTAGACAGATCGAAGTTCTCCGATATGTTGATACCCGACTCGCGGGATTTCAATCTTCTCTCCACCTTGTCCAGCTCCAAAAGCCAAATCGCAGGCACTACACTGCTGAGATACAAAAAAACAGAAGGGCAGAACCTGAAAAAATGTAAATATACAATAAGCGACGAACTGTCACACTAAATAAAATTAAAAGTGAAAGTTAAGAATAAAATAAAAAAAAAATTTAATTGATGTAAAACATATTTACATATAATTTGTATATAATGAATTAAATATTACATGGAATTTAATTCAATCATTAATTTTCAGCAAATCTGTTGTTCTCTTATTCTCGTATATTTTATGGTTTCGCGATTTCAAAAAAGAAAAAAAAGATGTATAACCCTCGCTCGTTCAATCGTGAATTCTTCGTTATTCTTCCGTATTGAGATTATCAGAGATACATCCTGCGATTGCATCCTGCGATACACCTATTGAGACAAATTGATCGATGAGTCAGGTAAACGATATCGCAGAATCGGGTCACGGCTTGCTCCAACAGAAGTCAATAATTTTTGATCCGGCTCGTGCGACCCGAACAAAGTGGATTCTGACTCGTCGACGCGCTCGTGTTACTAATGCTCCAATTTCCGTCTGTCAAGTCGAGACGGTCTCACAGCATACACACCCTGCCTGCGGCATCACCTTGCACTAATCCTCACAATGACAGCCCTGTATCTAACGCAACGTCACCGCTGTGTATAGTAATATTCTCTCTATACGCAACAGTCGTTAAAACTGAGTGATGAACGATAAGAGCGAGCGGAGAAAATAATAATGCTATTCTTTTAAGCATGAAGTATTTTCTAAGCCTCTTCGATTAATATGATTAATCCGCAATTTTGGCTCTTAATTTTGGTTTTTATCTTCTATTCATGGTGATTCTCTCAACTTGTATTCTCATAATTACACTTATTTGTGTCCCGAATTAACATTTACATCTGCAGTATCTTATAAAAGAAAACCATAAAAATTATAAACAATTTGAAACTGTTACGAAGGAAAGATGAAATTTCAGTAAATTACACAACATATTTCACAATTATATTTCTCGCAACCGTGGAGCTTCAATTAAATAATAATTTAAATAATCGTTAAATAAAATTTGTAAATTATATGAAATATTGTAACAGTAATATAATTTATTTTCGAAATCAATTACTCGGGCACTATTTCTTCTTATTACACATTTAGCAAAAGAATAAAGAAATAATCGAGATATTAATAATTCCACAACCGATTTCCTATTCTTCGTCTTCCGTCAATTAAGATAAGCCAATTAAGAATTGAATTCTTGATTCCATTTTTTGTTACAGAAGCGATGTGTAATTCTCGAGTGCACAATTAAATAATGCCTGTACCAACAGTCGACGTACCACTTCCACTCCTGGTTCTCCTTTATCGTGAGCGTGAAGATACCCTCGAAGAACAGCAGGAGGATGGGACAACAGAGGTACCAGAAGAGCGGATTCTGCTTAAAAGTCGTAACCTGCCAGATAGCGATGAATCCATGCGATGCGAACACCAGGCGCGTAATTATCGCCTTGACCGTCGCCAAGAACTTCGCCATAGTTATTAATTATAATTTTCTTGCTCACACTCGACAAGAAAAGGGACTCTCTGCGTCATGCACCGTCGTGTTGAATTTACGCGAACACACATTCGCAATTCGCAGTCACGTATCGTCGTTTAAATTTATCTCACACATTTCCGCGTGTTTCACTGTGAAGAAAGCGCAAACGTTTACTATTATAATGTAAAAAAAAAGAAAAGAGCATGAGATATACGGAGATATACGATCGAGGAAAGTATAAGATCAACGGTTCGCAGAATACAGGACGAAAGTGTTGGGCCGTCGCGGAAGGAGCGTCCTGACTTCGAAAGAACGCGCGCACGCGTAAGCGCTCCTGAAGAGTGATCACCCCTTTGCGAGGATGTAGCGATCCGAGCCTATGCTCGTCACAGTTACACTTTTTGCATCTCCCTCCGAGGGTCTATTTTTTTTACTTTAGTGCAAGAGGTGTGACGAAAACCAAGCTATAATGAAACCCGGTTCGTTGCACCTCCTTTACGTATCTTCCTTCTTATTTTTCTCTCTTATAGATGCAATATACGAGCACACGTCTCGATGGATGAAATATCTGTCTAGGTAGAGGAAACTTTCGAAAGAGACATCTTGAACACGCCTAGAAGACATCCTTTAGAAACTGCTTGCTATATTTTTTTTATCTACACAGTAAAAAATTTTGCGTTAAAAACGGTCCACTGATATTTCGTGTTATTTTAACATGTGTGTCAAAAAGCACAGAAATATTAAATTAATACATTTATCTATGCTGATAAGATGAATGAATTAACATTTGTGTACCTTTTGACAGATGTCCCATGTTAAAGTAACACAAAATTTCAGTGGACTGCTTTTGACACAAAATTTTTTATCGTTTTACTATACTATTTAATTCTTTTTTTTAGAAATTTGTTACTTGGATAATCAATATACTCTGCTAAATATAATGCGATAAGTTTACGATAACAATGTGTTTATATTTCTATACTTAGACAACTTCGTTATAGATATTCTTAAAAATATGATAAAAGTATCTTAAAATTTAATAAACGTTTTTAAATATACGATTAGTATATTCTTAACAAAACGTGTGCATGTATAAGGAAAAAAAGAAAATAAGAAATACAGTTAGGGAAGTACAAAAGGGACAGAGGTTTTCCGTACTTCGTCGTTTACATAAAGATACTAAAATGTGAATCGCCGGAAGTACAGGGCTTTTTCCCTTTTTTATTTCAACTTATGCGTATATTTCTACGTGTATAGGTACTCACAATCCAACTGTTAAAAAAATGCGTCGTGAGTATGCTCGATAAAAATAAGTGTATTCCACAAGGGCGAAACTGAATTGTCGTCGATGAGAATGGATTCTTGTAAACGTGGGAGGGATACGTCGTATCAGATTACGTTCTTCTTCTTCTTCTTATATCACCTACGATGATAGAGAGATAAAAAGAGAGATGGAGGGAGAGTAACGAAGCCTCTTCTTTGCTTTCCCGGGTATCCGCGGAATTAACCGACTGAGCCGACGCTAAACGGAAATTACTTTGGCCTCAAATTATTGGTAGACGTGGACAATGTTGGAAGGGTCGTCGGTGTACACGCGGGAGTGGAGGTCTCGCCTACGATGGTATTGGCGGAGGCATTCGTTTCGCTTTTGTAGCGAATGTTTGTGTACTCTCTGCCTAGTTGAAGTGATTTCTGCAAAGAACGAAAACGAGTCGGTTGACGACGACGAAATACTGGCTTGTCGTCATGCGATTCGATTCATCCACTCACTTGTTCCGCCTGCATTCGCTGTGATACCGTCTCTATGTAATGCAGAACGGCGAGATAGACGAATTTGTATTGCGCTTCCGTTTGAACCATTCCCGATCTCTGCGAGCGTACTCGCTGTATCGTGCGTTGAATGTCAATCTCGCAGTCCAATCCTGAGTGCAAAAAAATCAAGCGACATGTTTCAGACATATTTCTTGATTCTACTTGTGCACAACACTTGACAATAATTCTTTCACTCGTCATTTTATTTATCGCGACTTTTCGTTTCGTTTGATTTTTATTTTTATTTCTATACATATTTTTCTAATCTTTCATTTTAATATCATCCTATTTTTCACTCACCGTGACGTTTAATTTGATCTAGAATCATATCAATGACGATGAATGTGCCAGTTCTGCCGATTCCGGCGCTGCAGTGGACAAGAATCGGCCCTATGCACGGTACATTCTGGTTGTTCGAGGCCAAGGACGCCGCGATAGACTCTTGTCTGGCATTTACGTCGTGTAGGAAATTCAATACGCAACCAGGATCTGACGGAACACCGTGATCGGGCCAGGCCTATGTGAATCAGATATGGAATTCAATTCTAATATTGCATGTAGTTTTATTAGACAAATTCGCTGAAGCTTTTAATGAACGCTTATAGAGAATCCTTAAGAAAATTCATAAGGAATTCTTTATAAGAAATTTCTCTGACGAATCTAATCAAACATAAAGGAATACTAGATTCGTATCAATAGTAGTTACTTGAAACTTATGTGAAATATTCAGGTCTCAGAGATATTCAGAGTTATATTTGAGTTTTTAATCACGATTACAAATATAATATCACATGCAGACAAGTTTCAAGTAACGACTGTCGGACCCGAGATGTTTCAAGCAACAATTAGAATAGATTCACAGGATCCGCCGGGGGTCCTCGTGAAAATTAAATACGTTACTTGGAAATGGTAATGATAGATTCTCCTGGGCTCGGAGAAGTCCGGTTTGCTTCCCTGCAGGAGAAACTCGCGCAGGGTGTAATCGGAGGTCGAAGTTTGCGACATGGCGCGCACTTTCCACTCGTTACCGTACTCGGCGATTTCGTCCTCTTCCGGCCAGTAACGCGCGCACTTGTTCTAAAAATGACGTCTCGTTTAGATTCCCGTTCGCCGATCACAGTTTGCCGATATTTCACCTGAGCGTACCTTGCCTCTCTCCATCTCCTTCGTGGTCATGACGATCACCCGAGTGTTCTCTTGGTAGACCATGTGCCAAAAGTCCCCGATGGTGTTCGGAAGGCAGCCTTGCGTCGCTATGTAGTACTTGCCGGACGGTACAGTCTCGCTGCCGGCACCGGTGCCGACAGTGCCGGCGGCGCTCGTCCCGTCGCCCTCCTCGTTCTGCAAAAGGATTTTACCTTGCGCCTGATCCAAGGTAATCAATTGAGTCAATTTATGACGATAAACAGAATACCGTGGAATCGTCGAATGCGTTCTCAAATTCTCCCCGATCAATCTGCCTCTGTTTCTTCTAACAGTGACAGTTATCAACCGTAAGGTCGAGCGAAAATTAAGTCACAAATCCACGCGTGAGACGAGTCGGAAGTCTCGTCAAGTTGACGAGGAAGAAAAGGCGCGCTCATCAGGATACCTCGACAGGTTCCGCGACACTCCGCAGACGTCGAGAGGAAGAAACCTTACCCTTATGTAATTAGCGTTAATGTAATCAGCTCCGGGGGTGTTCGGATCTACGTCCTTCAGCCGCACCCTCGTGTGATCGAACGGTAGAATATTCTTGTAACGGTTCTTCGAGCGGTTCTCGCTGCGTAAACCCTCCTTTCTCGAGAAGAGGTGCCGGCACTCCACCTGCTGGAGCGATTCGAACTCCTCCCAAAAGCCGGCTTTACCTTTGCCACGGCCTGCACCACCCTCGTCGTTTCCGCTAGCACCGTTCCAACATAACCAACCGTTGGAACAGCCGTTCTCTTTGTGCAACTGTCTCACTCTGCTCTCGATATCGCTGGCGTTAATGCGCGTTGCGTTAAACGGTTGTCTACAAATGAAAACATGACTTGTTAACGTCGAATGAATAATTGTCAGGCTCTTTGATTAAATAATAATGGAATAATGAAAGACAATAAGGACTGGTGATAAAATATCTAACGAATAAATATTTGACGAGTTTTTTCCTTACAGAAATAAAGTACAAGAATACAAAAAAAATTACTGGTATATTATTGTTATCCAATAGTATATTGGTAATTCTTGTACTTTATTTCTTTACGGAAATTCTCTTCGGATATTTTTATCCATTAGATAAATTAACGCATAGTTTATCTAGAAGTGGAACAATCGACCCTACATGGGTTACATGACCTACTTTACAGTTGGTCGATAATTCGTTTAACATAGTTTAGTAACATAGTTTAGTAAATATAAGCTTCTTACATCTGTGCAATTGGCTTTTACTATCCTTTATTATCAATTTATTATAGAATGTCCGAAAAGGATTTTATTAAAATGTTATAAAACGTTCAAAGATTTCGAGCAAAATTGTTCTCTATAACTCGTTATACGGAGAAGAAGTAAAAAAAGAAGGGAACGAAGCGTGATGAATTTCGATGAAACTTGTTCACACAAAGCCGGCATACAAAGTGTCTTATTCTGTTTATTAGAAATAAAAGGGAGATGAGAGCGAGAGATTCTTACCGAAGATGAACGACGCTGCCGCTCGTCTCGACCATTGGGTTTCGCTTGTAATACTCTATCAGTTCACTGAGACTGTCGAACTTGTGGCCGCCCCCTACGTCGTACTTGTTGTCCTACAATATTAATTGGCTCTCTTACAAAAGAAAATATCTCCAGTCTCGCCGACCGCTACTGTTACACCAACAATGTTACGTATCGAGGCTAATATCCGTTCCGTTTCGTTACTTCGCAAACATTTCGAGCTGCCGATTCACAGATAGGTGAATCACCCCTCTGACTTTCTACCGCGCTTCAGATACGATCTTAAGTACGTCGGACGTTGCATATAAGGTGTAATTAACCACCTGAAATCGTATCATAACATGCGTGACGCGATCGTCGGTGCGTACGGACAGCACGAAGTCGCCGGGTTTACTTTGGGACTCGCGCACCAAGAAGGATCCATTTTTGCCGCGTTCCAGCATCAACCGTTCCGCCTCTTTGGCCGACAAATGGCCGTGGAACCACCTTCGGTCACATCTTACTATTAGCACGCGCCCAGTGTATTTGCGCACCGGACGGTATTGACAGTGTGACTGTACCGTGTCGTACGTCGGACAACTGACACTACGCACAAGCGGAAGGCATGCACAGGCGTGTGAAAATACCGAGGACTCGCGTACCTTTCAGTCGTAGGATCGGCGCAATTGAGGGGATACTTGAGCTCGATAATTTCGCCATTCTTCTCACGCAATTGCCCGCCGTTTTCCATATAAAATTGTACCAGTTCGGAAAGCGTGGCGAATTTCTCACCACCGTACAGATCGTAGAAGTCTCCTGTATTTTGTATTTTAATATGAGTCACTTCACCATTCCGTCTGAGGATAAGACGAAGGTATCCAGTGTTACGTATCGGTGTGCATTCGCATGGCTTTTATCGAATTAATTTGTACAGTAGAAACAGAGAGAAGAGGCTTCTGTGTTCCGAAATTCATTGCCAGTACTTAAAATTTATAATTTATATGTTGTGTATATTCTGAACTCTCTTTTATCGATAGAAGTGCCTCAAATATGGCAAATTCTCAGCCGATCGGATGGCTTCTGAGCTACTTTCAGAGGCACTTTTATCGATGAAAGAGAGTTCGGAATATAGATTTACAGATTTTTCGTACTGAGGTGCGTTCTGAAACTCAACCTTGATTACTAAAACTCTACAGTTTATGTCATGTGTACTATAGAGATACAGTTTATGTCATGTACTATATAGATTTTCAATGACCAAGTTGGGTTTTGAAACGTACCTCTAGCAGTGAATATCAGAACACAGCTGGAGAAAGAAAGAGAGAGGGAGGGAGGGAGAAAGGGAAAGTGAAAGACAATTCAGTATTTGTATTCACCTGACAGACAGTGTAAAGTCACCAGGGTTGGAGGAGCTTGGACGTGCTAAAAACGAACTGTCATATCCTCGTTCCATCAATAGACGTTCAGCTTCTAAACCCGTGATATTGGGGTGAAACCATCTGCAATAAAATACAAATATATATATATATAAATATACACACACACACACACACACACACACACATACCATTCGACTCGCAATTAATCTCACAGTTACCTATGAATCCTGAATTCTCAGTACTCTCACATTAAATCCTGAAAACGATCCTCCTCGCACTGTACATATCACCAAGTGGTTGCTCAGTTACAAGTACACGAAAACCCCCGGCCTGCTCAATAGGCAAGGACGGTAATCAAGATTACTCAAAGATCAGTGAAAGCGGGCGAAACGTGGCCGAGGAGCAATCGCGGGGGCATCGGTTGCAACCAGTTGGAGAATAACCGCGAGGAGAGGCAGCATCATACCAAAAATGGTAATAAGCGCACAAACGCCGCTCCCTGCACGCGCCGGTCAGCCAGCGACGACGATTCGCTCGCTCGTTCGCATGCGAAATGCGACGAGGACGCTGTTTGTTCTGCCAATTAGCATGCGTGTGAAGAAGCGAGCGAGCGAGCGAGCCGTAAAGGCCGCGCGCGATGGACGCGTATCGACGGCGCGCCGAGTCCCGTCGATTCGCGAATCTCGTCGAATCGCGCGCGGTTTTCCAGCAGCGAACAGAGGTAGGTCCCGATCGTGCGACGATCTCGTGGGGGGAGGGGGGGAGGGGAGAAAAAAAAGTCCGCGACCGAGGAACGCGAAACCGCGACGATGCCGGCGCGCCGCCCGATATCGAGCGCGTGTCTCCGAGCGGCGAGATTGGATGGGAGACGGACGTGCCTCACCTGCGAGATGCCATGACGCGGCCGTTCCAACAGCTTTTACGAGCACCAGCTGCCCATTAATAATTCATAACGGCTCGTTAAGGCCGCCCTCGAGCTCGCGATCCGCCGAAGCTCGCGTGCGGCCGCGACACTTTCCGATCGGACGTCAGGCCGAGGACGATACCACCACCGCCGCCGCCGTCGTCGTCTTTGACATGTCCACCTCGCGCGAAAACAAAAAGGCGATCCTCGCTCGCTTCGGCCCGAGAATGCGCCGTGCCATAGGGCAATCGACACTCTCGAGATGTCGGGCCGACTGCTCGCGGCGTGACCCTGACACCGCGTTCACACCGCTGTGGCACCTCCCCCGACCAATTTCCCGATGTCCAATGGGACGTTCGCTTTCTATCCGGTCCCTCGTCGGGCCCGTATCAGAATAGGCATTGAGGATTGCCATCTAATCGGACTAATCAGATAAATCGGAAACAAGGGTTAGAGTAAACCTGATTGGTCCGGGTGGTTGTAGCGTCCTCAATTGTCCGTAGTTCGACACGGGCCTAAAGCCCGTAAGAAATTGGCCAATCACAGTCGACTATTCCAACAAGCGCAAGGGGAATAATCAACTGTGATTGGTTAATTTCCTAAGGCTTAAACTTTCTTAAAGACACGTTTCGCGAGTTTACGTTTGGAGAAATAGTCGCGTCTAGGGGATTCGTCTAATCGACAAATTCATAGAAATTGTGTAGTTCCCTTATCTTAATCGACGTGACGTTAGTGTGATTAATCTCTTTTACCGACAATTAAAATAGATAAAAGGCGAGATTTTGCATAATGTAAAGCACGATAATAATCGAGCTACATATGTGACGGATAAATCAACTCAATATGTCAATATGTCAAAGAGAACCTACGTTAAAAATCCTCAATGTATCTTCATTTCTATTTTTAGAACTACAATAACATTGCGATAAGAAATATGAAACATAGGCGAGATATGAACCGATTGATAATTTACACTAATGTCGCACAACCGTCCCGTTCGCTTTCGTTCATTTCACTCTATATTTGTGTCCGAGTCGAAAAATGATAGATAACACTGAATCATTTCGCACGATAGTTCTTCATACGGCAAAAATTCACGTCACGTGTTCTGTAATCGCAATCCTCCTCGCAATCATCGGTGTGTATATACGTGACATGCGCATATATCAAGGATGTCCATTACTTATCAACAATATCTTGCCAACCGCAGATAACGAATTAGGCAGAATGTTAGTGGGGTGATTAAAAGGTTGCAGAAATTAAGATCTTACGGCATAAAAATGTGAAACCTCGTCCTGAAATTTATCTCAACAGGTCGTTATTAGAAATACAGGAATATCAACGAATAGTCTATTTGAGAATTGATTTAACAGTCGGGTATTTAACGACATAAGTTCTCGCAGAAAAACGGCATGTCCAACGAAGTTCTTGTTAAAAAGAAAGCGACTATATTTATCGACCGATGTAAGCGACAGGGAACTTTTAGGACACTCTATATAACGGCTTTTTATAACAACGTACTGTGCGCTGATTGCCACTGACTACCGCTTGCCGGGTGTCGCCGACGTTTCTTTGTAGTGTGCGTACGTCTCTCGCACGCATTATGTCGTTAGGTTCAGACTTTCTCTGAAATTGGTTCTTTTTCTCCTCTGTGTGTGAAAGCATATTACGAAAAATATGGGCCAGCGCGTCTCGAGGACGGATTTCGAATGGATTTACACGGAGGAGCCGCACGCCACGCGACGGAAAATAATTCTAGGTAAAGAGAAAAAAGAAATAGAATGTATACACATACTCACACACGCACACAGGTGTTTGAGTAACGTGAAATTCGCGTAAAAAACTGGCTCGTATTTCGCGACCGCTATTAAGAAATTGAAATATCACTTGGGATGTGTGTGTGTGTGGTTGAGTCACTCGGATTAATATGAAGTCAAAAGGATGGACGTCACGTTCAAGCCGCAATTATACGAAAGCGACTTCCTCTTAATTATATATAGTTATGAGGAAACAATGTTTTTTTTAACACTAAGTCTTGCTGCAATATTATCGTGACCTTCAATAGCGCACTTCAGACTTCAATAATGCATTTAGATGTAAGACTGAGCGATGAAATCTTAAACTTATATAATTTGAAAAGTGATGTATAATTTAAAAAGTATTTTATTCATGCTCTTTATTAATATGTTATTTTTAATATTTGTTTATGTATAATACATATTAATATATATGTTGATAGGTCATTTTTAGGATATATTTGTGCTAAAAATAATATTTTCTATTTCAGAGAAATATCCGCAAATTAAGAAGCTATTCGGATATGATCCGAAATTCAAATGGATAGTCATTTGCATGGTATTAATACAATTTCTATCTTACTTCATAGTCAAAGACTTGAGTTATCCAAAACTTTTGATATTAGCATATTGCTTCGGTGGTGTGATAAATCATTCTCTTATGCTTGGTATGTATATATTTGCTTTGATGTATCATAATTTATTAAATATTAAATATGTAAATATATGTAGTACAGTAGCATTTCTCTCTGATATATTATACAAATCCAATTTACATCGTGTCTGCAGCTGAACATGAAATAGCTCATAATCTTGCCTTTGGACATGCCAGACCCATGGCTAATCGACTGTTTGGTCTTTTTGTAAATTTGCCAATAGGAATACCAATGTCTATTAGCTTCAAGAAATATCATCTTGAACATCATCGTGTAAGTATCGCAGAAACTAGTACAAATATTTCACTTGATCTCGTTTTATTCTCATTATCTCTCTCTATTCCCATAAATTATCTTGACCTTCAAATCTTTGAAAATAATGACTTTGAAAAAAAATTGTCTTTCTTATCATAATTACTCATTCAAACGGTGCAACTTTTCTCTTAGACATTTTGCCGTATCATCAAAAACAAGTAAAATATTTTAGATGTTCGATTTAAGTGGATCACTCTGTATAATACATATATTCTCAACTAAATACATATATTGCGTCTTTAGTATCAAGGAGATGAAAAACTAGATACGGATTTACCGACGTTATTAGAAGCAAAGTTATTTTGCACAACTTTCGGGAAGTTTTGTTGGGTGTTGTTACAACCATTCTTCTATTCTTTCCGTCCTCTCATAATGTATCCAAAAGTACCAACTCCACTGGAGTATATTAATCTTGTGATACAATTAATATTTGACGGATGCATTTGGTATTACTTTGGTAAGTTCCTTTCTTCTGATTTGCGGCACAAATTCTAAATGTCAATTATCTAAAGAGTAAGAGAAAATGTGATTCCAGGCGGCAAAGTGTTGTTTTACATGCTTATTGGCTCTCTACTCGCGATGGGCTTGCATCCCGTGGCAGGACACTTTATATCGGAGCATTATATGTATAAGAAAGGTTTCGAGACCTATAGTTATTATGGCTCTCTGAATTTGATAACTTTCAACGTCGGTTATCACAATGAACACCATGACTTTCCTGCAGTGCCTGGCTCTAGATTACCAGAGGTATGATAGAAACTATTGCGGTACACATTTAATCATACGAATGTAGCTGATACAAAATATAGATAAACATAGGTTTTTGTATCACACAATATGTTTTTCACTTGTCGTTTATCATCTTGATATTTTTTGCACAGGTAAAACGTATAGCTCCTGAATTCTATGATAACTTGCCACATCACAACTCATGGGTATCGGTTTTGTACGACTTTGTGATGGATCCTGACATTGGACCGTACGCGAGAATGAAAAGGAAACATCGAGGATTAGACCAATAAATGCTGGAAAATATTTTTAAAAACACTATCTGCTGCATTTATGGTGTATTAATCTCCTTGTGCTTTCATTTGAAAGCGTAACTTGTGTGATACGCGACAGGTTTTCAACAAATATTTAAACTGCACAATTATGTAAACTAAAAAGTATACTTTTAAACTATATTGGAATAATTTGGCCTTTGAGTGTCAATGTATGGTTACTGTTTCTGTATCCAGGTAAACTATTGATATAATTAATTACGTAGTTGTAATAGCATCTGTTGCTTACAATTGTAGCATCTGTGCTTACAATTGTACAGTTTATGATGGTACTTTTATACTATATACATTATAAAGTTGAATTCCATTACATGTATATGTATCATAGTCATGTGTAAAATATAAAAGTTCTGGCTCTTACAATTGATTATGTTGCTACGCGAAATTGAACTTTTCTTGGAGTGATACGTAAGTGGCAGATGCTAAGAATCATGATATTTACATTTTCTACTTTGCAATGTAAATTTCAAAGATATTCAGGGACGATAATGTTAACTTATAGCCAGTATCGTTTTGAAATTATTTTGTCAAGTTATTTGTACATACACGGTGTAGTCATACAGTGTATTACTTTCTGGTTATGTAGGATTGCTAAATTTATGTCAAGGATTATTTTCTAAGTTAATGTTAACAGGGATATAGGTATATAAAAATGAATATAATGTATATGCTCAATTCACAGACTCAATAATTATCTAATACTTTAATCTTCTGTTCAGGTTTAATATATATTTTATAATATTTTACAAATATTAAGTGGATCTGTGATTATGCATTATGCAAAAGTATATGATCTACAGATTAAGGCACTTGGACAGTCGCTGCAGCTATCCTTGTTTGATGACGTCCAGGAACGGAAAAATGCATGTCAAGAATTCTTGCGTTTTACGTTCAAATAAAAAGATATATTCACAAAATGACATTTGTGGTCGATTCGGTACATTTGTAAAATTGTCCGTGCACTTTTACTCGAACAATTAACAGCCGCAAAATTAATTTGACACAAAACTATTCATTTTAAACTCTTTTCTCATGATTTTGTCAATGTTAATTTTACGACTATTTATTGCTTGTTCGAGTAAAAGAAAAGTACATGGACAATTTTACAAGTGTACTGAATCGATCACAAATATCATTTTGCGAGTATATCTTTTTATTTGAACGTAAAACGCAAGAATTCTTGACATACGTTTTCTCGCTTCTGACAAACAAGGACGGTTGCAACGACTACTCAGGAGCCTTAATGTAATATGTACGATGCATTAAAAAATTTTACTAAGAAATTGAGTATTTATTATATTTAAAAATATGAATTTTTAAAATATCTGAAATTGTATACGTTTTAATAAAATGCAAATTAGTATGACCATCTAGCAAATAATTATAAAAGAATCTACGAGTGCTATTATAATACAAAGCTATTTAACTTTGTATATTATTTAATATTTCATTTTACTTTACTCTAGAAGCGATTCTCTTTATAGTAAATACATACGAAGTTTGTAAATGTAAATATAAATATTTTTAAAATATCGTTGAATATTTTAATCGTGTTAGAAATTTATTTATGTTGTGTGCCTTGTGTTTTAATGTAACGATTGTGCAACTTTCCAAAAATTCATAATTCATTCCCGAGTTCACCAAAAGATGTCTCACGTGTGTGTGTGTATGTCTCAGTAGGTATGTTTTTTTACAATTGCTTTAAGTTGCACGTCTTGTCTGTAGAGTGAACAAGTATATCAGTTAGTGAAGAGGAAAAGGAAAGAAGTTTCAGTACAGCTCTAGACGACGAGAAGTTTTTTTGTAATATATTCGTTAATAATTTTCAGGTTAGTCACGAGGTATCTTGTGTTTATAACTTTTATTAATTGCAGTGCATTTTCCTGGAAATTTTATATTTTACCTTCGTATCGTCAGTACCGATATTATTATTAAGTGTTACTTAAAAGTAAATAGTTAAATCATCATCACGTATGTACAAACGTATACGTTTAAAGTTTGTCATTATTTTATAGGTTATATTATTTTTTGGTTATACTTTTGGATTTATACATAATCCGTTTCTTTTGCGCGCATTATTCTCAGATGGTGTTCTTTCAGATGGTGAATAAACGGTTCGACGATAATCTTACCGCTATTGGTAAGAAGTGGTACGAGGAATATCAGAAGACTGAGGAACCATGCAAACATTCGATATCCGAAGTCGATGTACTGAATCTGAAAGAAGAGGGGAAGAAGTACCTGGATGCGGAGACCGCTGTCTTTCAGGTGAAACAATCCAAATCGAAAGATTCAAACGTGAGGTGGTTAAAGGTAGCGGTGAAGCAGGGTACCACCTCGGATAAAGTGGCGGCCAGTATAGTACTGATCCAGGATAACCCAAAGTACAATCTGAGCCGTCTGACAAACTTAGTGTCTCAAGTGCGAGGCGCCAAACACAATCAGTGCTGCATGATCATCGCATCCCTGAAGGAACTCTTCCTGACCGACTTGTTGCATCCCAACTTCAAGTTGCTGAAATTAGAACAACAGGATCTGGACAAGCTCAACCTGGAGAATGAATCGGATGCCATCGTCAAGACGAGTGCCGCGAGGAACAGGCTGCTGGCGCATTGGTACTACGAGGACCAGCTCCTCGAGCAGTACGAACGTTTCGTTCTGAACCTGTCTGCAGTTGCTTCCGACACGGTAGACACGAATCGCGAGAAAGCCATAGCCGCGATGACGGACCTGCTGATAGGTAACTCCGAGCAAGAGCACAAGCTGTTGGAGCTGCTCGTGAACAAGATCGGCGACCCCAGCAGCAAGGTTGGCTCCAAGGCTGTGTTCTGCGTCAACAGGTTGTTGCACGAGCACCCGAACATGAAGCTCGTGGTTCTGCGCGAGGTCGAGAAACTGTTGTTCAGGAAGAACATGGCGCAACGCACCCAATACTATGCCATATGCTTGTTGGCGCAATTCGTCCTGGACGCGCAGAGCAACGAGATAGCCGCCACGCTGATAGAAGTGTACTTCGCCTTCTTCAAAGCGTGCCTGAAGAAGGGTGAGCCCGACAGTAGGATGATGGCGGCGATCTTAACGGGCGTCAACAGAGCGTATCCTTTCGCCAACATAGATTCGAGCGTGATGAACCAGCACATCGACTCGGTCTATAAAGTAGTGCACTTTGGGTCGTTCAACGTCTCCCTCAGTGCACTTAGCTTGCTGCATCAAGTAAGTCTGGATTCATAGAATAGGTATGATAAGCTTTTAGCCTTCTGCTCCGAGCAGTAAAATGTAACGTAATTTTTTTATGCAAGACATTACCCTGCCAAAAGTCTGCAATGACGCTTGAAGGCTCTTCTATAATGCGGTCGCAGGATCGTACAGTCGATCCACTTTTAATTCGTAAAAGTATATATATATGTTTATTTATAGTTTATATAGTTTATATATGTTTATTTATAGTTCATTTTGCAATTGTAACAGTTTCAATATTTTAATAAAACGAGTTTCTTCATAAACACATGTTTTAACTTGTAAAAATGTGTCCATCTATAAACGCGTTTGTGGTCTTAATAGTTTTGTAGTTTCACGTAACATTTAGTTACATTGATAGTTCATCCTGTTAACAAGAATCGCATTTCCAGATCACAGGCAAGGATGAGTCTCAAGCGAGCAGATTTCACTCGGTCTTCTACAGGAAGCTCTTGGACCCACAGATAGGAACGGCGAATAAACGTGCGATGTTCCTCAATCTGTTGTACCGAGTTCTGCAGCAGGACCAAAGCGTGCTGCGTCTGTACGCTTTCGTCAAACGGATCCTGCAGGTTACGGTTTACTTCCCGGCGAACATGGCCTGCGCCATGCTTTACGTCGTTTCGAAGATTCTCCGAAGTAACAAACATCTGAGGCGTACATTGCTCGAGCCTAAAGCTATTAAAATCGAGAAAGAGGAGGTATGCGAGGTAAAGGAGGAGGACGTGTACGAAGTGAAAGACGAGTTGTCGGACACGGAGGATGTTGAAGTGATAGACGAGATCAAGGTTGAAGACGAAGTGGACAGCAATATCATGTTGTCAAACGTTACGACTAGCGCGGACACCGCGCCGGAAGCGAAGCCCGATGTAAAGCTCGAGGTGGTCACAAAATCGTACGATCCTTTCTGTCGGAATCCGCTCTACGCTGGTGTAACTCAAGGATTCAACACGGAGCTCGCGGCATTGGCCAAACACTTTCATCCAAGCGTTGCCTTATTCGCGAATGCGATCATTCAAGGTATAACTTCAACTTCTATTTTGTCATCTTTTATATTATATTTTCAATATTATTTTTCGTTATTACATTGAGACATTTTATATTGATATTTTAATATCCATATTCACGAAATCTCTTTAATCAATTGTGAAGTCTTATGTGGATTTTATATTCGCAGATAAACCGGTCGACTACACGGGAGATCCGTTGGAGGACCTGACGTTAATACGATTCCTAGATCGGTACGTTTTCAAAAACCCGAAGAAGCTGGACGACAAGAAGGTGCAAAGGAAAAACGATCTTATGGCGCAACGTGCCGGATACGCGCCGAAAGGCCTACGATCTCTTCCTGTGGATAGCGCGGCGTATCTCAACGAGACGGAGGAGCGAATACCGGTGGACGAGCTGTTCCTCTACCGGTTCTTGAAGCAGAAAAGGGAGATCAAGAGGCGCATCAAGAAAGAAGACGACGACAACGAGGATTTGGAGAGCGTCAACAGTGAGGAATTCAACGAGATGTTGGATAATTTGAAGAGCGGTCAGGATTTCGACGACTTGGACATCGCGGCGGATATCGTGCCCAGGAAGAAGAAAGGTAGCTAACATCGTGTATTTTTTTACAAATCATAAAATAACTAGGAGCCCCTTCGACTTCTGTTTGGACAAAAAAAGAGAAAGATAATTCTCATCGTAAAGCTTCTGCGGTGCAGTCGCCTTGCTTCATAACATCAGAAACAAGAAGACGCAATGTCAACGTTCTTGCGAAATACGTCGAAATGAAAGGATTCCATAAAATGACATTTGTGGGTAAAAGAAAGAAATAATAATACGAAATGTTTCTTAAGGAGATAAATAACGCGTATGCTAAAATAAACGAGCCGTAGGGTCGCATCTCCGATCCCAATTTGGTGATTAAAGGGTTAAAGTAAACATTTCTGGAATACTTTACAAGTATATTCGATCGATCAGAAATGTCATTTGGTACATCTTTTTATTTGAACGTATGACGCGGGAGATTTTAAGCATGCGTTTCCTCGCTTCTGACGTCATTAAACAAGTAGACACAGCGAGTAGTCACGGGGCTTAAAAGAGTTAGGATGACGATCTTAACGTTTCTTTAATCGTAAAAATCTAATAATAATGATCAGTCGTATCTTCCACTGGGGAAAATTGCTCCCGCTAATCGGAAATTTAAACGACCAGGAAAAGCGACTGAAGAGTCCGATGACGACGACGACGGAGAGGACAGTCAATCCGAAGATGACGATGTCGCGTCGGAAGATGATTTCGACGAGGATAACGAGCACGACGATGAAGAACTGCAAGATTTGGACGGTCTCGCGGACATGGATGACGAGGACCTGAGCGATATGGAATTCAACGACGGTCCCGAGGAGGGAGACGATGATCTGGAGCCTGAGTTGATCTCGGGCTTGAAGCGAAAGCTCCAGAAGCAGCAGCGGGGTTCGAAAGATAAGGGTAAAGATAAGAAGAAGAGGAAGGGCATCGACAGCGACATATTCGTGTCGGCGGAGAAGTTCGCGGAGATGTTGGAGGAGCAGAGCAAAACGAGGGGCAAGCATGGCGGCAGCGACGCTCTCAGCAGCATCGACGGCGCCAGCGCTAAGCAAATCGACTGGGAGATCAAACGGAATCAGCGGCTGAGGGGATCGTTCGGCAATAAGAAGAGGAAAAACACCGCGAAACAAACTTCGTCCAGTAATAAGAGGACAAAAAGATTAAAACGGTAGATTACTTAATAAACACGTTTTATAAACACATCCTTACAGTTGTTTACAATATTATTCATCTCTCTCCCTTCCTTTGTGCGATATATTTCTCTTTCTCTCATTTGTCTCAAGGCGGCAATGCGAACACGTAGCGATCTGAGGACGAAGAAGATACTCGTTCGATCGCAGTTGCTCGCGAATAAGAGATATTCGTTCGAGACCCCCTCGAAGCTCTCCGGGTGCATCGACCGGCGCGATGTACTTCGTCGTTTCGCCGTCGATACGCAACTCGTGCGCGTAATTTCTCTCGTCATCGACGCGAAATCCGTGTATCTGGAAGGGTCAATGGAGAAAATTCGGACAATCGAACGCAATGCGCGTGATGTGTACCTTCGTCATTTTTAAACGATCTCAAGCTGTGAAGTGTCAAATTATCAAAAGTATCAAAGTACAAAAATACTATGCAATTTCAGAATTTTCCGCGCGAGACAAACGTATCTCGAGAAACCTTGTGCGAGCCACATTTACATCGAGCAACGTAAACGCGAGTTTCTGACGAGATCATATTTTGGGTTGAAAAGTATTTCTGCGCCTTCTGTTGTATTAAAAAATATGTCGTTTTCCTTTCGGATTTTTAATAGATTGTACGATCAAAAATTCAGTTTAATCTCACGGTAAAAAGCAATCGTCGCGAAGGTAAGTCAACGATTCACCTATCAACGCTCTAATCTGGACTGAGAAAGGTGCAAATGTTCAGCGGATATACGGTTCACAGTTGACACCGCCGCATCCATGCGAAGATATCTGTTTCGTTTTACGATTTCGCCTCGTGATTAAAATCTTGCTTTATGGTATTTATAAAAGAAATTATTTATTAAAATAATTGTGTCACATAGTTTAATCATATCGCATATACTTGTCCGTGAAAAACCTGAATCTGAACGCAGATTAATCATCATGTGTGTGTGTGTGTATCTTAAGCGTGTTTTAGCTTTGACAAATGTGGAGGAGGGTGAATAGGCACTTTGCATAGATGCGAAAGTTTGGGCATGATATAATATAATACGCAGTGAATACATAAAGGAGAGTAAGACGGATCCAACGAGCATCTCTGTCGCTCGTTTAAAAAAACGCGAGAGTATTTTTGAATGAATATATATATATACTGTGCTGCATCTCGAAACGTTCCCTTTCTTGGAGGGGAGTTTTGTTCGGTGGCTGTTCCGAAAACTTGACAAATATTCCTCTTCCAAAGAGGGATCAATCGTTTGCAAAGAACAGTTAATGACTAAAATCTCCCTCGAAAAGACCTCGTTTTGAAGTGCGATCTTAAGAACGACGTATCTCGAGGAAACATCCCCAAGATGTGCTGTCCGAGATATTACATACATAATTACTATTTGAAAACTTACACCTCTACGTTACCAGAGCAGCATTATCGTTAATAAATAATGATACTGGTTTTCCGACAATGTACACACATAAGACTGCTCCGAATCGCTCGTGGCTTGACAAAAATTTATGAAGGAAAGTAAGTGTTAAATCTATATTTAATATCCACCGTGCGATGACGATTAGAGAAATCCGCGGATTCATTTGTTCAATGGTATTTTCCAGTTGTATTCTTTTTTTATTCAATTATATTTCTTATTGTTATGTTTTTATTTATTCTTTTCTGTTACGTGCGATTAGAAAACGCCGCTAAACGCGGCAGATCCTAAAGCGCGCCGTATACGCGTATCGGAAGGCTAGACGCTACTCCGGGTCAGGTTTTGTCGAGCTGTCTTCATCATGAGCGGGACTGTGCCATGTGAGTCGTTCCTCGTAAAATTTGATTACAATCTGTGGGCACTTCTCGTTGGCGATGCGCGCTGCCACCAGATCCGCATCGTCCGTTCCCTTCCATTTCATCAGGAACATGAGTTCTCCGCTGGAGTCTGTGGCGCCTATGATGCGTTCGGGATCCAGATTCCTATCAAATCCTGGAAAAGCAAGTTTCGTATTCGCGAATGAGGTCAACTTCCAGATTTCCCCTTCGATTTATCTAGGTTTCTCGTCAGGATGCTGAGAGCACCTTTTACGGCGAATACGATTGAATACGCTAGTGTGTTCCTTTTTATATTTAAAACCGTTTGAAGTCCGTCTTCAAATGCAGTACAAATTGTCTCGTTGACTACGGAGCGTTCGAAGAACTTTTAGGACCATCTTACATATAATAGAATATGGAACTTGGTTAGACGGTGTGAATATGTACGCAACAGACTGCGTATGGATATTGCAATTATAAGAACAGAATATGATACCGCTCGAATTCGCCATCAAATATCCTGATGAGACATGTGTCTAGTCAAGCCTGTATCGAATTATCAGGATCAGGATTGAGATCGAATTGAAACTTGGCCGATCAAAGTTCACTTCGAGTTTTGACCGACCGAATTTCAATTCAACCTCAATCTTAGTCCGCGGTCTGATACAGGCTTGAGAGAAATTCTCGGTGCATTCTCGCACTACCTTCCAATTTCTTCTCTTCGGCTCCAGTTTTCTTCTTGGCTTGAGAGGGTGTCGGTGTGCTGGTGCTCTTTCGCTTCTTCAGTTCCTTGTCATCGTGGCCTCGTTTTCCAGACGCTGCCGCTTCCTTCTTCTTGCGCTGTTCTTCAAATTGAGCGATCAAATCGGGGCAATCCAAATTTTCCTCAGGCTCCCACGTATTCTCATCGTTTGAATATCCCTTCCACTTTAAAAAATATTCTACCTGCAATTCAAAAATATATCCATTTAGAACATCAGATTCCCTCGCGAACGATGATCACCTCGCGTTTCACGTCAGCAGCACGATAGCGCGCGCTTACCTTGCCCTTCACGACTCTTCTATCTAAAACCTTCTCCACGCTAAATTCTTCTTCGCCTTCGGCATCGGTTGGAGGTGAATCCTTCAGTTTGCTCATTATGGCTTGTCAATAACTGTGAACACAAGATCCCGGAATTGAATTTCGCCGTTCTCGTTTTGCGGAAGGGGCTTGAGAACGTAAACAAACGTATCGGGAAGGCCGAGTCAAAACGTACAGAGAGAGAGAGAGAGAGAGAGAGAAGTTGGACCGGCTGAGAGAAACCTGCGTGAGCGAGCGAACCACACAGGACGAAGCGCCGTATAAAGAAAGAGCGGGCCGAGTAACAAGAGACGGTCGTTATCGCGCGTCGAACTTATTTGCATAAGACAATACGCAAACACGATAAGACTATCTACCGTGTCAGACGATGATGACGCTTTGATCCACTCGCGGGCACGTTCGCGAGTAAAATCGAGAAGATTCTTTCCACCGGGGACAACAATGACAACGGGAACTCGCGGGTGCACGTTACCGGCTGGAACACGCGTTAATTCATCCAGCGAAATCATGGTGACGAAGTTCCCCTCGTCAGCGAGAGCGAGTCGACGCGCTACGAGAGAAGTAACAGATGCGACTTCGGCACGGCGGAGGAGGATTTCGCGCGAAACCGACGCGAGATTATCCGTGGACCGTTAGCGATGCAAAATGGCGGCGGCAGCGACGCGTAGCCGGTATTCTCCGAGTTCCAACGCCCAGGTCGCTCTTAGGTCGCGTCCGTGTCCACGATCATTATTTACCCTTGATTCGCAAACTCGCGATCGCCGGAGATTCACTTGGACCGGAGTAATAGAGAACACGAGACTTACAAGTTCTGTCCTTCACGGTAAGAGCAGGCGAGAGACGCGCACAACTTACTGGAGGATCACCGCGTCGTGGGCCCGCGCGTTGCACAGCGTTGCCGCGAAAAATGCAAGGCCTGCCAACATCGCGGAGCGAGAAATCGCTCGATTCTCCCGCGACAAAGTTGACACGTTCGTGAATACATTACCGGCCGAATCAAAGTGTCGGTGGTTTTGATTGGCTAGGAAGGGGACGAAATCATTGATGTTTGAAAAACAGGGTCTGCAATGAAAATTTGAGCTCTGAGCCTTAAGAAATTGACCGATCACGGTCGAATTATAGAAGAAAAGCCAATTATGATCGGTCAATTTCTTAAACCTTACGCTTTAAATTCTCATTGTAGACCCCGCCTTTAGTGTCGGTCCATAATAGATTTTAAGCCTGAGGCCTTGAGAAATTGACCAATTACAATTATTTTCTTCACGTTCGACTGTGATTGGTCAATTTCTTAAGGCTTAAAACCTATCTATTGTGGACCGAGGCATAGGCGTTTCGAACGTTACGGCATCCCGCGAGCGCTATTGGACCGATTCGAAAGAAACGTTCTTGAAATTGTCGTTTGATTTTCCGTTCTATGTGCGTTCTCTTTGCTGCGATAGCTCAGAGAACCAGGTGCTGGCAAGGTGCTCGCAAGGTCCTTCAGTTCGTCACAGGCATCCACGGTGTATCGTGAAAATAGCACACGCTAAAGTAACAGTGCGTATTAAGTAATATCACGGGAGGTATCGTTTTTGTCATAAATCGAAGACGTATTAATCGGACGATGCGTTCTGTAATGTTTACAGCGTAATAATAGGTCGAGATGGCTGCTCGTTCGGTTCTTAGGTATTTACGACCGAAATCCGTGTTGCTGCAAAACCACCGATGTGCTTCCCTGTCCGGTTTTGACATCCAGCACAAAACGCCCACCATCAAGAAGGTGATGCCAATACCGAAGGCTCACTACGGCGGCAGGCACACGGTCACTATGCTGCCTGGGGCTGGTATCGGGCCAGAATTAATGTCCTATGTTAAGGAGGTATGCAATTAATTCACCCTCACATTTGCCTTATTTCATAGAATCAGAGTGCATTGCGATGAGAGGCGTATCGTTATTGCTTGAAATAAATATTGGAACAGAGTTTATATATTTCTCAGTGGTGCAAGGTTCACCGCTGTATATATAGTTAATTGTTGTTGCTTTGTTATCAGTCTATTAGTAGATTATTGACCTGTTTTTTTTTTTAGTTGCACTGGTGAACTGGTGCAATAAGTTGAAGTAAGACAAGTACGTTTTCTTACTTTAACTTATCGCACCAATTCAATAGTACAGCTAATAAGAGGGCCATATTAGCCATTGAGTGTGTTCGGAAACATGTTGAGAATTGCACTGTCAGGGCTAAAATATCATTGTTTTTGTTTTACGTCTAGTGACCGGTAAAAACTAAAATGCTAGTTTATACATATCGGTATAATATTCATATAGCTTGTAATTATTCTGTATTCGGTAGGAATGGTAAAATATTTAGTTAAGACGTTTCTTACTAGAATATAAATGCATAAACATGTCTTCCTGTAGTTTCGCTCTGTGGGTTAACTTGGCTAAACTGTGGGTTTATTTATTCGATTAGGATTGATTTTACGAAATATTTCATTAATTTTATCAAGTATACAAGGGAGTATCGAGTAGAAAAATCAGGGATCTGGGGGGAGGGGAAACAAAAGTTCATGCCAACATTGTGTCCGACGTACACCGAGTAAAGTTGGAAATCGTAGGAAACCCGGAGCAAATTGCGCTTGGATACTAACGACGAGGTGAGATAAAAACGCGCGACGCACGACGGAAGGCAAACCGTATTTTGAAACGCAGGTCTTCAAATACGCCGGCGTGCCGGTGGACTTCGAGGACGTCGAAATCGACCTGAACGCGGACGACAACCAGGACCTGGACTACGCGATCACGTCGATCCGCAGGAACGGGGTGGCGCTTAAGGGCAACATAGAGACCCGCAGTACCGAGGCCGGCGTGATCTCCCGTAACGTCGCGCTGCGCAACGAGCTGGACCTCTACGTCAACGTTCTGCACTGCGTGTCCTATCAGGGCGTGAACTGCCGGCAGAAGAACATCGACATCGTGATAGTGCGGCAGAACACCGAGGGCGAGTACGCGATGCTGGAGCACGAGAGCGTGAGCGGCGTGATCGAGAGCATGAAGGTGATCACGCGCTCGAATTCGGAGCGAGTGGCGCGCTTCGCATTCGAGTACGCGAAGAGGCACGGCCGCAAGAAGGTGACGACGGTGCACAAGGCGAACATCATGAAGCTGTCGGACGGCCTGTTCCTCGAAATCTCGCGGCGCGTCGCCAAGGACTACCCGGAGATCCAGCACAACGACATGATCATCGACAACACGTGTATGCAGCTGGTGTCGAATCCGCATCAGTTCGACATAGTGCTGACGACCAACCTGTACGGCGCGATCGTGTCGAACGTGGTGTGCGGCCTGTTGGGCGGCGCCGGCCTCCTCTCCGGCAAGAACTACGGCGACCACTACACGGTATTCGAGCCCGGCACCCGCAACACCGGCACGGCGATCGCCGGCAAGAACATCGCGAATCCGATCGCGATGCTGAACGCCGCGGTCGACATGCTGCGCCACCTCGGCAACAAGCACCACGCCGGCATCATCCAGAACGCGATCAACAAGACGATCAATCAAGGCGTGCACACGCGCGATCTCGGCGGCACCGCGACCAGCCGCGAGGTCGTTGACAACATCTTGAAGCACATCAAGATCGCGAGCGTTTAAGCGAAGACTGATCATTCATCTCTCTCTCTCTCTCTCTCTCTCCTAGCCAAAAAGCAGCTTGTAGCAGCCGTTTTCGGCCTGACCCACACACACACACACGCACACACAGTAATTGATCGGTGATCAGCGCGAGCTCTTCTGTCGAGAGAGCCTCGCGCGCTTTTCTTTCTTCCCTTATTTTTTTTTTTTTTTTTTAGTGAGATGACACAAAGATCTAGATAGGATTTAATTACGACGAAACGACGTTTGTGAATGGACAAGGGATGGAGGAGACGCGCCGGGGACACCCCCTCCCGCGCTTTCCGTTCTCTCTCTCTGAAACGGCAAACTATCTTGCAGAAAATCTTCGCGGAATCTCGGAGCAGCCCAGGGTAAGGCTCGCGTTCTGTAATGTGTAACTCTTGTGACTTACACGTAACGCGGGGATCGGGATTTTGTAAAATATACACTGTACATTTTAGGTGATATACGGTAGTTCCTATAGGCAAATTTACCAAATATACGCGCGATCTCCCTAGTCGGTGAGAAGAGGCCAGGTTTGCAAAGGTGCGCGCGCGCGCGCGCGAGGTACTCGTTTATTGTTGTTGATATGTAATACTCAGTGACACGTGAATAAGGAAAATATGATTGTAATTTATTGAGCTGATTAAGGGGGAGGACAGTTCGTTCGTGTTTCGTCGCCTTAGTAGAGAATTCTATCTGGTTAAAGCCGATATTCCGAGAAACACACAGTGTAAAATTGTCAATATTATATAATACAGTGATCGTTACGTCGTAAAGTGTACATACTGCGTAAGGTTACGTCGCGTTCTTGAATAAAGTGTAAATTTATTAAATAAAGTATAAATTTACATTTCTAAAGACTCGACCGGCTGTTTACTCAATTACGCAAGAGCTGCAGTGCTACTTCCTCGTCGATCCGCAGATCGGTGTTGTCCAAAACTTTCTGCCTCTTCTGCGTTCCCCTATCTTGCCTCTGTGTCAATAATTTCCTCTTTAACGGCCTACGGCAAAAATAAGCAGTTAAGCGACTATCAAATGTTTCAGTCGAACGAAGGAGATAATTTCAGTTCAAACAACACATCCGTATCTATAAGTTGATATTGTTCACTTTTCTTATCAGGAAAATTAGTCGCACTAAAACTATTTAAACTGTATATTTTTTTTTCTTTGATAATAATAATAATATGTAGTGTTATTTTATTCGGAAAAAAAAACATTGAGAAAAAATTTATTGTATTTTTACGGAAAAAAAAAAAACTTTCGATTTTTCCGCCAAGTTTAGTTTTTCCAAAAAAAAAAAAAAATAACACTATTAATATGTTTAAACGATATTAGTATATCCTCTTAGAACGTATTTTACTGACTTGGTTGTTGTTTGCATATATTGCCAAAGATCATTAAATAGAAATTGACAGATTTTTAATAATTTAATCAATAACAACGGAAAGTTACCGTTTGATACGAAAACGATCGGTGTAAATTAACATCCGAACAAAGTCTGCTTTTTTTTAGCTGAACTAAGTTCGCGAACTAAGTATGTAACCTAGCATTAAAGAAGAAAGGAACAAATTTCCAGCGCAGCGTTAGATCAATCAAAAGGATCAGGTTTAACATTGATTTTTTTACCTTTGAACTATATTCTCTTCCTCGGATTCATTCTCCTCCTTGAATTCCTCAGATTCCTCCTCAGACTCCTCGTCTTTTTCGAGTTCGCTAGCGGAATCGTTATTTTCTTCATCTGTATCCCGCTGTTCGCCATATATCTTATCGGGGTCAGGTAACCATGACATATCTAGACCCTCGTTAGATTCGGACTCACTGACGTCATTGTCACTCGCACTTTCCTCCGTTTCTTCCTTGTCGATCGTCTCCGTCTTCATATTTTTCGCTTTCAGTTTCAGCTTCTCCTCCCTGTGCATTGCCTTGACCCTCTCTCGGTGCCTTTGTTTATCGAATCGATCCTCCTCGCGCAACACTTGTTTGGACATCTCGATGTTAATACCAGAGTCCATCTCGTTTTCGTATTGTCGAGCTAATTCCGACATTTTCGTTCGGGCAGAATCGACTAATTTCTGGGACATGATTACTTTTATGAATCTTCGACTTTTGACCACTTCAACACGACCACTTATAACGCATTGTTCATACATACAATATATAAATCTATTCTAATTATATACATAATTATTATATATTTAATATTTTTAATACGTATATTCTTATAGTTATGTAAAATTGGACAAAACAGGATGATAATGATTTTTACCTGTCCCTCATTGTCGAATGCAACCTTCTTGTTAACTGCGACCTTCTTCTTGAGAATCCTTTTAATCACCTCAGCTTTAGTAACGATTTTCTTCTTCTTCGAAATGTCGTTCTCACTTTCCTCTATCGCTGGCATATCATCGTTAATAACATGTTCCCTTTTTACCGTTAAGAGATCATCATCGTCGCTAGAAACATCTGAAAGTGATGTATGAGCCCACGCATGATTGACAAGTTTCTCATATCGAACTTCTTTTCAATTCAATATTTGGTGAAGATAAAGCATTCGACATACTCACCGAACCGAAAAACATCCGTATCGTTCCCTCTGACCGATAATTCCCTTTCCTCGTTATCGGTGTCGGAAATACTTGCGTCAAAAACGTCTTCGTTATCTTCCTCCTCGCTGACGTCCGACGACGAGTTGACCGGCATCTTATCTGTTTTCTTTTCGCTCTTGACGTTGCTATCACCTATCTTCTTTATTGCCCTCTGTAAAAATCGGGTTCTCGGAGTGATGACCAAACCTAACGATCTGTGAAAAGATTCCATTGTTGTAAAGGAATGCTCGAGACGTTGTATGCACATAGCGATCGATGCGCCGGATGTCGAATGCGAATCTCCTAAGCTTACTTGGCAAACGTGTCTTTATCTAAAGCATGCACGTCGAAGATCTTCTTATCCTTCATGAGGAAGATTGATTTTATGTACGATACAAAGGCCCTTTGAGCGGTTTCCTTCAAGGCTACGTCTTGCGCCAGTAAAACTTCCAATTTACGTTGCGGCGATTGCAGTTTGTTCGGGTTGATTCTAAACACGAAGATTGGCACAGGTGAGGAAATTGATGGGGATATGAAATATAAATTGGAATGAAAGATACAGAATGCGTCGCTCACTTGATCATATTTATGGGGATTTTGCGTTGCTGAAGCCTCTCGACCATGGCTTCCTCGGACGGTAGCAGAACCAGGAGAGACTCGCCACCGCTTTTGAATCTGGCTGTTCTACCCGCCCTGTGTACGTACGCGTTGACGTCTTCCGGGCAATCCATCTGAACCACCCAATTAACGGCAGGAAAGTCTGGAGGATTATAGTTGATAAGTCGCTTTAATGATTATATTACTTAAAATTAATAAAAAAAACGTAAAAGTATTACAGACATTTTGATATACAATATATTTTGGGTGTGTATATTTCTTGAGGTCGCTCTTTTCAATGATGAATTAAAAAAGAAACAAAAATGGCAAGTCTTCAAATCAATATAGATTACAAAAACAGTGTTATCCACATACTTTTAATATCGCAAAATTCAAGTATTGTCAAGTATTTCAGAAAGAACTTGGTTACCTAAACCACGGGCCGCAATATCGGTGGCGAACAGGACAGCGTGTTGCTTCTGGCGAAACGAATCGTAGATGCTCATTCGTCGCAGTTGATGAAGTGTGCTGTAAAGACCTAGTAAACTGACACCGGGCCGCAGTCGGCAAAACGCTTCGTACACGTACTTCACCTAAAATTGAAACTTTTCATAAGTGAGGTACATCAATTCATCATTACACTGGCGCTAGTGTGAGGAATAATTCTGCGATACCTGTTTACAGCTGGAGAAGAACACAATGATCTTTTGTTTCAGGTGATTCCGTATGAACGACCACAGCATTGCGAGTTTGTCTTCTAAGGCGCATACAATGTAGTTCTGTTGCAGACTTTCCGGCGTGATATGTGCGGAATGCTCGTGCACGGATATATACAATGGATCTTTAAGGCTCAATCTCGCCAGATCTTTCACTGATCTAATGAGAAGATTTCACATATTATCAACGAGACATACAGATTCCAATTTAACCTTCGAGTGGTTATACATCTAAATGCAGTACGAGTGTATGGATGACAAAGTGTCCTCCACTTAAAATTGACATTTTCAAATGAGAAAAAGTCGCTCTAGAAAATAATAATTTATTTACATGGAAATAACAATCATAAAAGATGAACGAGAACAATCCCTAATTGATAAATACACGGAGGTACAAGATCGATGCTTGTTAGTATTTTTCAGAAAATGCACTCTAATGTTACATGGATGATACCTGTAATCTGTGTGACCACTGTAAGGCTAATGTAATGATTTTTTAATACATACTTCGTCTGTGTGGCTGAGAAAAGTAAGGTCTTTCTTTCAGCTGGCAAATTCTCGATAATAGCATTCATCGTCTTCTCGAAACCCATGTCCAAGCAACGGTCTGCTTCATCCAATACTAGTATCTACAATTCGTTAACCTATCAATTTTCCATTAATCTATTAAGCTAACTTAACTTAAGAACAGAGCAGATGTTTCTACTTAAATTTACCCCCATTGGCACTTAAATCTTAATTACCTGCATATTTACGCAATTGAACAATTGATTTTCATCCATATGCTGAAGCAAACGTCCCGGTGTGCATATAACCACATTGTACTGATCCATGCATTTTCTCTCAAACTTTAAATCCTTTCCTCCTATGATCAGACTGATCGAGAAGTCATGGTGCCGACCCACTTTTCGCAATGTGTCATATATCTGATACGCCAGTTCTCTCGTCGGTGTGATAACAAGCGCGCCTAAACCGTCCAGTCGTGTCCACTGTTTGCAGTACAAGATTTCCAGTATCTAAAACAACGATTTTCCTTATCACATACAGTGACTCACGAAAGCACCAAAGAGATTTAGAGAATTCGCACCGGTACGAGGAAAGCCAGGGTCTTGCCGCTTCCGGTTTTCGCGGCTCCCAAAATATCGTTGCCCTGCAAAGCCAAACCGATGCTCTGCCTCTGAATATCCGTCATCTCGACATAATCGCTCTCTCTTAATCCTTTCAAAGTGTTCTTCGACAATGGGAGATCGCTGAACTTGATCGTCTTCGTGACGTCTATCTGTAAATTACATTGCAATTTAAGCTTGCGTCTTATTGCACGGTCACATGTATTATGAGGTTATATTTACATCTTTGTATCTGGATCGCAGCTCCTCGATTATTTTGACTTCGGGCGTACGCTTTTTCTTCACGTACGCTTTAACTTTCTTTTTCGCCATTGTCACTTCAATTAACTCGCCACTTTTTCGATAATAAATGTTATCTCACCTTGTTTTTAAAGTTGCGTGCAAACACATGGCCCAACGCATGTACGAGCCTGCGTACACGAGACAATGGTAATGAGTGAATGGAGAGAAATTTTTGCTTCTCAGCCAAGACTCAAACCTTATTCGTCAGTCGAGTTTTACTAGACATCGCTAGATGACGCCAAGCAATTTATTTTTCAGAATTACGATAGACCCGTTAGCGCCGGGTTTTTCGCGATTACGGTAGACCCGTTATTTTTAGTTAGTTTCAAAGTTTCCGCTACAAGTCGCCACCGGCTTTCATGTAAAATTAAGATCGGGGCTCAACGCAAGTCGAATGTAATGTATACTTTCACGTAGCGCAATAATAAGTCTGACGAGAAATTCAACAACCTGTAACTTCGATAAAAATCTATGTGTGTGATACAATAAAATATATAACTAGCACTTTTATATAATTTGAATGCGAAAGATTCTTCTTTTCGTCGATACACATTTGTTTTTTTCTCTCTCTATCTTTCTATACTTCTCGTTTTCTTCATATAAGAGTCCCTTTTAATAATTCTTTAATTATCAAAGATAGATTTCCCTTCAAATAAAAACTGCCCCTTCAATATTAATTAAGATGTGTATAGAAATAGATGAAGTTTTAATAACGCGTTTTGCACGAGGGAAGACAACGAGATGTTAATCAAAACGCAATCAATGCGGATATGAGATGTCAAAGTTCGTTATAACTCTTCGGTCACTGACCACTATGCTCTTCGCTATACAGGGTGTTCTCCGAACGTCCATACGATTTCGAATATTTGTAATAATTGTAATAATTGTGTAGTGTAATGTTTAGGATTGTAAGTTAAGCGATAAAAATCCAAATCGTTTAACGCAACTGACACCCCAATTAAAAAGATTTCTGTGTTCTTTTCTCTTTTAGAATTTTTTTAAATACACGTATCTCCATTTAATACACTGTACTAACATATACAGATTCTGCACACTTGGTGTTAATTATATTTAAAAACAACATCAAGCAGGCGAAAACAGATAGACGAAGAATAATAGATGGATCGAAAATTACAATATAATAATTATTTTGCAGAAGTGATTATCTGATTTTCGAGAGAATAAGGATTTCTTTCAGAAAAAAAAAGAATCGTCTACCGATGTTCCGATGTAAAATTTACATGTTTTCGGAATACTGATCGTTACTTGTTATTTCTCGCAAGAATTTAAAGGTAAACATCGAGAAGCCAGTTTGGTTGGATCGATCTAAGGATGAATAATTGTTAACAGATCTTTCGCTCCTTAGCATCTTCTTCGGACGACGCGTAGAAACGATGCAGCCGAAGGCAGCTTTGCGGCAGCAAAGTAGCAGCGTTACCGCTCAAAGAAGGAAAGGGTTAATCCGATGGCTGCACCCTGCGGGCGTTCTGCCACGTGTTACATGAATCAGTGTCAATAGGCGAGACGCGGAATCGTCGTTAAAAAGCACATGTCTGGAATGCGTGCGTGCGTCATCTATGCGACTTGCAGTAGACACGCATACCCATAGGAGGATGCTGCTTGCAAAGTGCATCGTAGAAGGAGAAGAGTGGGACCAGGGACCGAAGGAAGGGACTGACGGAAAAAGGGACGGCAAAGGAGGAAGAGAAGAGAATACACTCGGCCGACGCGGGTGCTCGTCAACGTGCTGGCTTCGATTGAAGAAGAAGGCTACGTTTAGCAGGGAGAAGAAGAGCAGGAAGTAGAATAACGAGATCAAGAAGAAGAGGAAGAAAGGAGAGAAAGAGAGAGAGACGTAAAGAGAAACGGGCTGATGGGGAGTGCTCAGATCCTCGCAGGAATTCCATGATCGATAACGTTGGGCTCTCGGTGATCTCGGCCCTTGTGCAGCACGTGAGATACTCTGGAAGCTCGAGGAAGCATGATCTGACGACGAGGTGGTAGCATGCGGCCACGGGACCACGCGGACAAACGATGGAGAATGCCGCGATCTCTGAGGAGCCTCACGGCTGGTCTGTTCTTCTTCTTGGTGGTCACATCCGGCCTTCAGTCGGCGGCGATGGCGGATATCGCGCCACGGGACATGAGTGAGTACACAGTAAAAGTCTGTTCTTGTCGTTTTAAGTGTGAGTGGAAATCTCGGTCGGTCCGGGACCGATTCTTCATCGGCGAAGATACAAAAACACCAGTAGTCTTCCAGTAATTAATAATATAATTCCAGTAATAGTAATTACAGAGTCTGAGGGATTAGAGTTTGATATGATATATTTACATTGCGGCAAAATATATATATTTAATAACAATAATAAAATAAATATACGTAAGATAAAATAACAAAGTAATATATTCGATGTAACTTAATATGTTAAAATATATTACGAGGAAGTTTTGAATTATTTCTGCACTCCGGCATGGTCTTACACGATTTTTAATTATCGCTGACTTCATCATTTTTTTTATACGTGATAAAAAAATTGATCCTCACCGATGTTTCGTACGTGTTACATGTTAAACATCGCGATTTTCATTTCGATATTTAACATTTTAAAAATATGATCTGTTCAAAAGAAGCAGAGCTGTTACATGTAGAAAATTCGTCGCAGAAACTACATTAAACGTCGGAGCGTCGCCTCTCTGCACGTTTGACCTATCGCAAAAATGCAGGGAGCACAGAGGACCTAAGGATAATTGGGACCAAAGTTCCAGTTTCCTCCGGATAGCGCACGGGCGGGCTTATTGTCGGCGCGATGCGCTCTCCTCCAACCGATCTCTCTATTGCGCTAATTGAGCCGCGTGTGCGTCGCATGCAAAGTTGCGTGTCTCGCGGCGCGTCGTCCTCTTGAATTGGTCCGGACGATCTCGTTCAAACGATCTGAGTTACGAGCGACGGGTTCACAGGTCACTGGGTTTCTAGTCGCTCATTGCGCCCATCGTCGTTGCCCGCTCGTTCCTATTTTTACTCTCACGCCCGCTCGTCCGACCACCGTGTATTAACGACACTGCGACGCTCTCGTCGCGAAAATAGCACACGACGTTTTTCCGAGGGTGTTCTCGTTTGCCACGCAATATCCGTGACACTCTTTTCCCGCTCAAAGCTGCCAATTTCCGTTTCAGCGAAAGACGTGGTGGACCTGATGGAGGCCGCGCGGATGCAACGGAAGCTGCTCGGAGTGACGAGCACGCAGAGCCGCTGTAGGAACGGCACGGCCGCGTACGACGTCGCGGAAACCGCGTTCCTCACGATCAATACCAATACCCTGTTTCCGGTCGGCATGCCGCGAGACTTCTCCATCCTGGTCGTCGCGAGGCCGAGGGCCAGTGAGTCGCGGAGTTCATGGAATTAATTAACCCGCTAACTGCCGCGCGATGATCTTTTCATCGTCATAAGTACATAATATACAGGGTGTCTCCTTGAGTAATCAGCCGTACTTTTCTACTTCAGTTTATAACACATCGGAAACATATTTCTGAAGTTTCCACAATATGCCGTGTAACGCCTTGTATAATTATTTATTATTACATTTAACATAATTATTTATTAATATATAATTATTTAGTCCTTTATATGGGTGATATAATTATTTATATATATGTTATAGTTATTGATATAATAATTATACACAGAATTAAATATATAATTAATAAATTAATATTCGGTCTCTCTGCTCGAATACTCGACCGCAGGTTACCTCAAATCCACGCTCTTCACCGTCTACAGCGACAACGGCGAGGACCAGTTAACTCTGTCGTTGGGACGCGACATTATCCTTTTATACAACGCTGAACCGAACGGCCATCGGAGGTCGATTTCATTCGGCGCCGACGTCTCCGACGGTAAATGGCACCGGCTGGGAGTCAGCATCAAGGGCGACGCCGTCACAATTATTCTCGATTGCAACAGGCAAGTGACGAGGGAACTGCGAAGGAATCCCGACGAGACAATCAGCACCGCCGGCATTGTCATCATCGGCCGACAACTCGTGCACGGTAATTTATATCTGGTAAGCGGATGGTAAGAATAATCATGTAACGGTCTTTTAATTCATAATAATTATAATAATTTTAGTTACAATTTATTAAAATAAAAAAAAATAAAAAAATAATTTTTATTTATTTTTTAACTTATAATGATCGCGATGTAACTTCGTTCAAAAACTGGTTGGACCGAAGAAGATCGGGAAAAATTTCATCTCGTTCATTTCCGATTCAAGTCCCGGAAAATACAGCGATAAATATGTAATAATTAAACTTAAACTAAACTTAAATCTAATTAATAAATTAAATTAAAGTTGAAAATAAAATAAATTAAAGTTGAAAATAAGAATAAGTTGAGTTACGGAATAATCGTGCATTTCTGTTCCTAGGGAAGCCTCGAGATGCTGAAGATCGCCCCAAATCCAGACGCCGCTTATGAGATCTGCACTATATTTGCACCGGACTGCAGCCAGCAATGGAGGCAAAGATCGAATCACAGTTTCTCGTCGAGTGTCAGTCGGAGCCATGGATCATTCGGGACACACTCTACGTCCTCCTCTGCGCATTATAAGAGCTTCTCCGAGATAACCACCGAACAGCCAATCTTTACTTCCGCTTCTTCCGGTGGCAGTCTCTCGGCCGCCGCTGTATCGCGTCGAGAATCCGAGGATCTGAACGCAACCTTTTCCAATTACAACCGCTACAATAGCCCTGAGACTTCCTCCGCATCTAACAGCACATTCGGAAGGCACAAGGAGCGCGGGAGCGCGATAGGTGAAAGCGAATATGATTACGAGGAGGAGAATGAGGAAGACTCAGATGAGGATGAAAACGAGGACTTCTTCTCTCCTCGTAGTGTCGTGAATATAACTTACGTCCTGAGACCGACGATGGAGACTTCCGTCAGAAATCACACCACGGTACACCTCGAATCGACCCACGCTCGATAACAATAAATGAAACTAATCTTTGCAGAAACGCTCGACAGTCTCACGAATGTTGAATAAATCTAATTGACTGACAGATAGAAGGACGAGGCGAATAAAAGAAAAGATAAAATCTAATCTTCTCATTATTCTCTCAGGTATCCTACGGAGCGGAGACGACGACGACGACGACAACGACCGAGAGCATATTCCAGACGGAATCGAACTACGAGGAGGATCACGGAGAACCGACAGTCGGTCCTTACGACGAGGACTCGTATCGCAATCAAGGATACTACAGCACTCGCGGCCCATCGGGACCCCAAGGATTTCCAGGGCCTCCAGGGCCACCCGGCTCTCCGGGCAAGAAGGGTGAACCTGGCCGAGATGGGCTGGCTGGGCTGCAAGGTGCACCCGGTCCGTCGGGCAACGTTTTCGTGATACCGTCGTTGACTCAGGGTAACGAGAAGGGACCGGACTCTCAGGCGGAAGCGCTGAGGCAGATGTTGTCGCAGCACATGCTCGCGATGAGAGGCACGGAAGGCCCGATGGGCCTCACCGGTATACCGGGACTTGAGGGACCGCCTGGACCTCAGGGTCAGAAAGGAGAACCCGGTGACATCGGCGAACCAGGTCCCAGAGGGGAGAGAGGTACGTTTACGCCGAGAAAAGGAAGATGAATCAACAGAGCCTTGCTCGGATAAACGGAATTTGTTCGAGTAGATGTTTATAATAATGCTTTATTGAACGCAAAGCTGTACAGTGAGGATTAAGGTATTATATATAAAAGATAAAAGCGAACAAGCGCAACGACAGCTGTGCAGCTGATCTTAATGCATTACCTTAGCGAGGAAATAACGCAAGGAAATCTATAAACTAAACTAAGTACAGAGAAAGGAAACGTAAATTGAAAGTAACAAATTATAAATTACAGATAGTCGATAGTAGATTAGTCGACGAAACAAATTATATAATTGTTGCGACGAGAGTTATCGATGGATAGATTCCATGATTCGAATTTTTCGTAGGGAGTCCTGGGAATCCTGGTAGAGAGGGTAGAAGAGGCCGTCCTGGCAGAGACGGTGAACGCGGTCTCAGTGGACCGCCGGGGATCAAAGGCGAGCAAGGACCGATAGGATTGCCGGGTCTTCCTGGGGATAAAGGTGAACGAGGACCTCCGGGAATACCTGGGGAACCGGGGTTGCCTGGTCACGAGGGGATGCAGGGTGAGGATGGTCCTCCTGGTCTACCGGGTTTACCCGGTGAATTGGTAAAAAAATATTGAAGTATTTATTATTATTGTAAATCGTTGCGAAGGGTTGAAGGGTGAAAAGTGAGCTTCATTTTTACAGGGGCCAAGAGGATTTATCGGACCAAGAGGCTTTCCTGGAGTACCGGGTAATCCTGGTATTCCTGGAAACGAAGGACCGCCCGGAGCTAAAGGCAACGCTGGCCCACCGGGTCCTGCCGGTGCGCCGGGTCAACCAGGACCCATTGGCCCAGTGGGCCCACCTGGTCCTCAGGGTCTACTAGGACCGACTGGTCTAGTCGTAAGTTCTGGATTTTCAAAGTTTAATAACCTTAAAGCTCGAAAGGTCTAAAATTTTCTTCTTCGTCTGCAAGTCCATTTCTTGGAAAATTTTGCGAAAATAGTTAAAAAACGTCTTAATTTTCATACAGTTAAGTTGATACTGTAAGAATAATAAGTCCTTCAGATTGATATAATTATGTGACGGTGAAAATTGAAAGATTTTTTTTTTATGTCCCATGTTAATAATTTAATTGTATCTATAAGATTAATTTATAAACGCACATTATATTAACATATAAAAAATAAAAATTTCATTTAAACATATATCGTACATATGATTAGGACGTATGTTTAAATTCCATGTTTTTTACTGATTTTATAAGCGCAGGTTCCTTTTTGTAGTATTTTAATGCATTTATAAATTTTCATAATATCACTTTATGATATAAGCGATTTTTATCTAAAGGGCCCACAAGGAAAACCCGGGATTCCTGGTCTTTCGGGTGCGGACGGATCTCCAGGTCTTCCTGGTAATCCCGGGGCGCCTGGAATGAAGGGTGAGCAGGGTCCGCCGGGTCCGCAAGGACCGATAGGTTTTCCAGGCGTGCGTGGTGTAAAAGGCGACGAAGGGCAACGTGGTCCACCGGGTGAACGTGGCGATAAGGGAGAGAAAGGAATAGAGGGTGAAAAAGGTGACGGTGGAGCGAAAGGGGAGCCTGGAGTAACGGGACCCCAAGGTATTCCAGGCCTTGAAGGATTGGAAGGATCGAAGGGCTTCGAAGGACCTCGTGGTGAAACTGGGCCTGCCGGTCCGATCGGCGAAAAGGGAAAAATCGGTGTACCTGGATTTGCTGGTTATCCTGGAAATCCTGGAGAAAAGGGGGATAAAGGCCAATCGGGGAAGCAAGGTCCCAGCGGCGATAAAGGCGAAAGGGTGAAACTTACTGACAAATATATGAAATCCTTTGGTCTGTTGCTAGTAATTTTGATAAGGTATTATTGGTTCTTCTTTTTAGGGGAACAACGGATTGCAGGGAGAACGCGGTGAAATAGGGCCAAGGGTAAGTTTATCATTGCAGAAGATCCTTGACAATTAAAGAATTTTATATATGTCTATTCAAATATATTTAATTCTTTTTTTTAAACCACCTCTTCTCCAAAATATATCGTTTTTATTTCCTCTCCTATCATTTTGTCATTGTAATATAATATTTATATAGCCTATAACGTAGCATAAATTTACACCAATAAAATTTATTTACGAAAAGTTATATTTATATAAAAATATATAAATAAATATATAATTACATTTATATAAAAATAAAATAGTAATATGTATCATGTATACGCAAAATATATTTCATGTATACAATATTTCATATTTCATATGTATATTAACTCTATCGTACAGGGTTTTAGAGGAGCTCGTGGAAGGAGAGGCTCGGAAGGACTACCAGGACCGAAGGGCGACACTGGTCAACCAGGACCGCCGGGACTGCCAGGCGAGGTCGGTCCTCCGGGTGTGGAAGGTCCGCGTGGTTTCGTAGGGCCACCCGGACCTCTGGGCCTTGACGGTAAAGACGGTATACCAGGTCCACCCGGCGAACGCGGTCCCATTGGGGAGTCTGGGTCTTCAGGACCTCCGGGAGCTCCTGGTGTTATCGGTCCTCAAGGACCAGCGGGAGAACCTGGCCAACCTGGCGAACCTGGAGCGCCTGGTAGCCCGGGACTTCCGGGAGAAAGTGGTCCGCCGGGTGAGCAAGGGAAAGAGGGACCGCCGGGTCCAATCGGTTTGATGGGACTGGTAGGACCGCCGGGTCCCGGAGGATTACCGGGATTTCCCGGAGAGAGAGGATTGAGTGGTTTGCCGGTTAGTTACTTTCAATATTTAATTGTGCAAAATCATTTATAGAATATCCAACTTAATTTAAGCATCTTAAACATCTCTAGAATAATTGCGTATGGTCAAGAATAACAAATAGATAGAAAAATAAACGAGAGATTATCATCATTTTTTTAATGACGATGATCTTGAGATCTCAACAAATATAATCTTGAACAAAATTATTTTGTCAGACAATCATTTGTTCGAGAGAAATAATTTCCTTTTCTGCCATTTTTTGTATTATCAAAAGCGACAGAGAAACTAAGTTGAACGCTGCGTATAATCATATAACAGAGCTCAATTATAAATTTTAGGGATTATCTGGTTTGAAAGGAGAAATGGGGCCCGTCGGAGGTCAAGGACCGCCCGGTGATAAGGGTGCTCAGGGTGACCCTGGCAAAGACGGTCCACCAGGACCCGAAGGCAGACAAGGACCTAAAGGTCCGCCAGGACCTATTGGGCTTAAAGGAGAGAGGGTAATGATACGAAGAATAAAAAATGACAATTTAAATATTTCTTCTTATTGATGAACATTCTTCTTTTTTTAATATATTTTCTAATCGCCTAATATAACTGCAGAAATTAATATCTAAATACAAGTCCACTATTAAGTAGTGTACAATTAAAATTTTGTTCACTTCACGATAAAAATGTTCAGGGTGAGTCTGGATTACCTGGGTCTACTGGTCGCGATGGCTTGCCGGGACAAAGAGGGTTGCCGGGTCCACCTGGACCAGTCGGGGTTCCGGGAGAAGACGGTGATAAAGGCGACGTAGGTCCACCCGGTGAGAAAGGATTCAAAGGATCTCAAGGAGAAATGGTATACGTTTAATTGATCGATCTTCGAGAAAAATAAGAATAATTAACGAGATAATTCTAGCTACGCGTAACTCTTGGAATGTAACTATAAAACCTAGGGTCCTCCGGGTCCGCAAGGAATACAAGGACCGCGCGGTGAACCTGGCTTGATGGGTCCCGCTGGAGAGAAAGGACCACCGGGCGAAATGGGGCGACAAGGACCCAAAGGCGAAGACGGCCCGGTCGGAGTGATTGGTCCAGCTGGACCTATAGGATCGCAAGGTCTACCGGGTTTGCCGGGTGCAAAAGGTGAAGTTGGAGATCCTGGAACGATTGGACCGATAGGACCGCCGGGCGTTCCAGGAGAACGGGGTCCGAGAGGATCGAAAGGTCTTGAGGGCACGCAGGGTTCACCAGGTCTGGAAGGTCGTCAAGGAGAGAAAGGAGACAATGGAGCGCCAGGTCTTCCTGGAGTTCCAGGAGTGGAGGGTAAACAAGTAAGTTAATTTCTCCTTTTTCCTCTTCCTGTTATTATATATTTTTCAATTTATTGCCGATTTAATAATTTAATCACAATATTTTATTTATTTAATAAGTTTGTGTTAACTACTTTGATATAATTTATTTAGATATGTTAATGTATCGTACTTGACGGGCTTGTTAAGGGAGAGAGAGGTTTCCCCGGAGCGAAAGGTGAGGAAGGAAAAGCAGGGTCACCCGGTCCTCCTGGAAGTCGAGGATTAATCGGACCGGAAGGACCGAAAGGTAACGTAGGACCACCTGGTTTCCCTGGACCTCCGGGAGAACCTGGCTTCATAGGCCCGAAAGGTGAGCCTGGGAAGGATGGTGAGGACGGGCAAGTTGGCGACTCTGGCGCTCCAGGTGAAGCTGGACCATCCGGCAAAGAAGGATTACCTGGTCCCCCCGGGAAACCGGTAATACACACACACATTTTAACATATAGATAAGGCTATGTATTTGTTTCACAACGATAACATTTTTATTGATGCTTAATCATTCATTTTTAGGGTCCCGAAGGACCGGCAGGACTGCAAGGTAACACGGGTTTACCGGGCGAAAAGGGAGATGTCGGTTTACCTGGGCCACCGGGACTTCAAGGACGCATCGGTCCTCAAGGTTTACCCGGTCCCACCGGTTTGCCAGGAGTAAGAGGTTTACCAGGAGCAGCGGGGGAAAACGGACCTCCGGGCATAGCCGGTGCTGTTGGTGTTCCGGGGAAGGCTGGGCCGGCCGGCCCGAGAGGTCCGAAAGGCGACAAAGGCCGCAGAGGCATTAAAGGGCACCGGGGCGAATTAGGGCACATCGGAGTCAAAGGTGATCAAGGAGAGGAGGGTGAGAAAGGTATGCGCGGGCAACTCGGACCCGAAGGGCCGAAAGGAAGCCCCGGGCCGGCGGGTCCAGTTGGACCGAAGGGTAACGATGGTCCTCCGGGCTTACCTGGTATGGAGGGTCCATTTGGACCGAAAGGAAACACCGGGAACGATGGAACGAAGGGCGATATGGGCCCACCGGGCCCACCAGGATCGCCCGGTCCACCAGCGGAGCAGCCTATGATTCCGCCGGAACTGTTGTTTGCCAGAGGTCAATTGACCAGAAGAAGACGCGCCGTCTCGGAGAATGAGTAAGTCTTTCGTAGTTCGATTGAAGTCATAAAATTCCCGAACCTCGAATTTGCGTTACTCTCAGACATTCGCGTCATTTGCTCGATTTCTCATGAATTATTCTCGGTCGATCCAGAGACGAGGAGGAAGAGGACGATGAGAAGAGCGTGGGGCAAGGAGGGAAGGACGTTAATCAATCGGAGGAGGAATTGGGCCCCGAGTTCCTGGACATGTACAGCTCCATTTACGCCATGCGGCAAGAACTAGATCGGATGCGCAAGCCGACCGGCACCAGAGCAAATCCGGTAAGGACGTGCAGAGATCTGTTTTACGGGCATCCTCACTTCAAGGATGGTAAGAACACTCTCTCTGTTAATTATCGCTCTCTCTCTCTCTCTCTCTCTAACTTCCAAATCTTATGGAAGATTAAGCTGAAACCGATTACTGATAATTCCGCCATTCAAGAAAAATTCACATCGACGTTCAAGGAAGTTCTGTATTATTCTTTGCCGAACAGGTTGGTACTGGATCGACCCGAACCTAGGCATGCCCGACGACGCAATCTACGTGTACTGCAACGTTTCCAGTATGGGCGAGACCTGCGTGTTCCCCGACGTCCACAGCAGCCAGATGCCGAACATACCGTGGAGAAAGGAGAACAACAAGAGCGACTGGTATTCGCGCTTACGCGGGGGATTTCGAGTAAGGCTTCTGCGATTTTCACTCTTGAAATTCACCGGCCACGTTGCAACTATTTCAGAGACACGTTATTCATTATAACAACTTGAACGATGTGAATAAATGTTCAAATAATCTAAATAATAATGATTTAAATTTAAATAATTTAGGTAGTTTACGATTTTTGAAATAATAAGTCACTCCTTTGGCACCGAACGCAAAGTCGCGCTTCGCTGCTGATCATAACATTCACCAAGACAAGCTTGTCTTCTAGATCACCTACGAGTCGATCGGAGTGGTGCAGATGAACTTTCTGCGCCTCCTTAGCCAAGAAGCCTACCAGAACTTCACCTATACGTGCATGAACAGCGTCGCCTGGCACAACAGCGACCAGCCGAGTCCGAGCTACGATCTCTCACTGCGACTGCTCGGCGACAACGAGGACGTGTTCTCATACAACGGCACCAAGCCGCATGTCCTCGTGGATGGCTGCAGGAATCGCAAGAGCAAGGCCGAGACCGTGTTCTTGGTGCGCACCAGGAAGCCGCAGCAGTTGCCGTTGGTCGACTTTTATCCGGTCGATTACGGTTCGCCGCACCAGGCCTTCGGCTTCATGGTCGGGCCGGTTTGCTTCAAATGAAAGTCCAAGCAAAAATCGCACGATTATCGCGACTGTGCGATGATATGCTAGGAGGAAAAGTGTCGTTGAATCGATAGAATACATTAATAGGAAAGAAAAATGTTGTTGAGCCGGGAAAGTGCATCAACGGGGAAAGAGGAAACAGCGCGCGTAATTAGAATAAATCTTCTTGAATAGCAATGTTGATATTAATACATGTTTCGATAACTCAAATGTTAGTTCCAACGATACTGAATCAGGAAGATTAATTCAAATTACGTACGTTATTGGAAATTCTATTGACTCAACATGATCTTTTTTCCGTGTATGAATTATCATGAATTTCATATACATATTTCATTTCGAATTTTTTCACACGTTTCAAATAACGTCTAGGTTTAAATAAATCAAATTAATAAGGCGAATCTGAGATACTGTTATAACGGGAGGTATAAAGGAGATATGATAGAGCAGGGAATCGGACAGCGAACTGTCGCATTGTCATTGTCGTGTGTTCAGAAGATAATTACACTGCCAAAGAATCATCGTAAACAGACGTGATGTTCGTTCTTAATTGTTGATCGATTAGTTTGCGAGAGGTGCAATTCAGTGTGAAGTTCGATCTAGATATAATTTAGAATAAGATATCGTTATTTATAATACGATTATGGTTTACAGCACGTGTAACACGTTTTAACACATTTTGTACAGTACAGGCCGACTTTTTAATACGTTTATAAATAAAGCGCTACATAATTAATTATTAGTTGTTTGATTCTTCATTTACGTTTAAGCATCTGTTATACGTTCTTTTGTGCGTTTTCAAGTGCGAGTTAATTAATATTGTTATTAATTGTTAATTCATTATTTTATAATTTATTATGAAAAAAAAACTACTATACTACATTGTACACTTATATTTAGAGAAGCGTTGACAAGTGGGTTCCGTGGTGTAGCGGTTATCACGTCTGCTTTACACGCAGAAGGTCGCCAGTTCGATCCCGGCCGGAACCACTCTTTTTTTTTCTGTAATTTTTTCGTACTTTGCTTTGATTTTATGTAAAAAATATACTATCTGAACTTAATATACGGAACGAAAATTAAAATCAGTGACATCAGTAATGAGCGTTCGTCTTAAAAATTATCATATTCTATTGTTTTTAATTTTTTTGATACTAAAGTATCTCTGAAAAAATATGCAACTTGTATAAAAAAAACTGAGAAAACAAAAGGATATAATTTTTAAAACATATATTCGCAACTAAATATCATAAGTTTAATCGAAATATTCAATGTGTTTGATCTTTCGCCAAAATATAATTCTATTTATTTTAAGTTTAATTTATCCATGAAATTTTTTGTTCGACTGGAAAGTTTCGAGAGGCAGCGACTCGGCGAATTTTTGGAAATATTGACTCAGTCTGTGGAAATTAAATAGAGAGTTAAGCTTGCCGGCGAGGAAACCGCCAGGCACTCCATCGAGCGCTGCTCCATCGACGTTACACTTATCGACTCTCGGCGAAGGGGACGAAAGTGTGAAAAGATTCGAGCGAGAGATAGGGCGGATCGAAGGAATCCGCGAGAATGGCGAGATATGCGTGGGCGAAGCGTGAGAAACCGCAGGTGACAGCTTGTCATGGCGGTCGGCGGTTCACACTTCGGGCTCGTTCGTTCTTTTCTGGTGACAAGACAACCGAAGTAACGGCGCAGGGCCGCTTTCAACAGAACCGAGCGAGTCGAGCGAACTCGTTTCCACCGTGTTACTCGGATACCTCACTGGGCTAAGGGAGCGAATTTAAAATTATACGACACACGTGAGCGATATATAAAAAATAAAGCATAATGTATACGAAAATATTAGAGACATATTATAGCATAAAAGAAAACAAACGTAAATAGATGATTTTTAATTCTACGCGGAAAATTCAGAGACATCTGTTTCACGAGATTCTTTTTGTCTGGAATACAGTTTAGATCAGACAAACGTCCGAAAAATAATTTAAAGAGCATTCGTACGTCGTCTGAAAAATCAGCACATCTTTACAGTGTCTCGCTCACCCAAAGAATACGAGAATTCCAATGTTCTCCGTGCAAAAGCGGCGGTAGCAACCCTGGTCGGGGAAACAGCGTCCCTGCTTTCCGGCGTCGAGCTTCTCTTCTCGCGAGGGGCGGTGTGGGGGCGATAAAAGGTTTCCTTGTTTAACAAAATATCGTCTCCGAGCCATTAGCCCGACCGTTACCACTTCAACGCGATTTTCTGCTCCCGCCGCCGCGTCGAGGAGGCACTCGAGGATCCGCGGATCCTGCGAGCTATCAAACGCAGGCAAAGCCCGCCATTCCCCACTTCGCGGTCAGCCGGTGTGTTGAAACGAGCGGGGACTTAAGCACTCGTCGCCTCCTTCTCGGTTAACTCGATCTTTAATTTCCACCGAAGTGGTAATCACCGTTTCTTCCGAGGCACAGTAACGTTGCACCGCCGACGGAAAAGAAGAGCATTTATATTTTTCTCAGTTCATTTGTACTTTCTTCGTAACGTTAAATAAATTATTCCGAAGATCCCGCTAAATAATTTATTGCCTGTTAAATTTATTAAGCGATTTATCACTGCCAGAGGAAAAGGCACCAAAAACGACATACCATTTAGATTTTGGTCTCTAAAGCTTTGTTCAAGATAATATTAAAATTTATGTATATGGATACAAATCAGTAACACTTATATACTAAAATATATGATAGTCTTATGAAAGTTACTATATATTTTCTTGCAAATATTAATTTTTTTAAGATGTTTGAGGACTGAGGCTTCTAGAAACTAAGTCCCGAAATTGTCACATATTTACCGTACTTATCGTTACTTATCGTACCTATGTCAGTTTTGGAGCTTTTCCTGTACTATTTTATCACAGATTAATTTTCGAACAACTTTTCCAAGATTTCGATTCTAATAATTTCGACATTAATAATATGATAGTATTAATGATATAGTATTAATGAAATATCTGACAATATTAATAATATATATTAATATTATTGTATAATGAACAATAATACGATAATATATTTGATATCATAGATAATATTAACAGGATAATATTAATAATATGAAGTAATATATTTTTGTAAAATACATCCCGGCGGTGCTTTAAATAAGACTTCGAGCGTTCTCGTGTTTCGTCCATTAATGGATAATAAAACGACTTTGATTACATATGAAGTCCCTCTCCTCCTCCTCCTCTTCTGTTTCTCTCTTTCTTTCTCTCTCTCTCGAGATGGCGATCATTGATTTCCAGGGAAATAATAAATGAAATATTCAGGGAATACAGTATATCATTACGCTTGTCTTGCGTAGCCATAACGTCACAGCGCCGTGAGAAACTGCCAGATGTCACAGTCACTTTCAGCTCACGGTAACGGAAATATATTCTAACGAGGTCTGTCAGATCTTCGTTTGAAGATTAATTTTCCCCGAAGTCGATCCAAGTGCTCGGAATCGCCCGGGAAATTATATGCGTCACGATCAGTAGAGTAAGACCGGCTGACGTCGGACGTACTTCCTATCGGTGTTTTACTAAAATGATGATCGGCGGGACGTCTCAATTCTCTTCGCATTCTTCTCACTTGTGGATTCCTCGATTCTCCCGTTAGCCAGGATCTTAATTGCTAGTAATAAATCTAATTCGCCGATAGCTCCTTATCTTCTCTCTCTCTCTCCTTCCAATGAAAAGTCTTCACAGTTTCCCGCCAAAATCTCTCGTGACCAACTTGAATTCAGATAAAGAATTTCAATGCTTTGTCTTTTCCTTATATTAAAAAAAGAATCACTCCTTTCAATTTGTCGTTCGGCCCGCGGAAAAAATCTGTGGAAAAAATGGGAAGAAGTTTCTTCACGTTTTTTGTGGAAAGAAACCGGAAAGAAGTGCGGAAAAAATGAAAAAAAAAAGTTTGTTCTCTTCCGAGCCTTTGAAACTATACTCTTCCTTAAATACACAACAAACTCATCCGTCAATACATATCTTAGCACATCCTCTCGCTCTCTCCCCTCTCCTACACCTATATTGAACACACCGTTATTGAATATCGGAAGCGGTTCGGTCTCAAGGTAAAATAAATTTCCACCCCCTCTCCCCCCACCCCCTTCCCGCGTAACTCTTTCTCCTTTCCTTTCCTTTCGCTCTCCTCATGCGGTTCGCTCGATAACGCCGTTCGAGCCTGGCGGTCCCTCGCGATTAGCCGTAGGGAGGCAGCGAGTTGACTTTCGCGCTCCGACTTGCTCACCCTCGGGCGCCGGGAGAGGGTGGGCGAGCGGAAACCCCCCCGGCTTGGTCGAGGGGTTGCGCTCGTTCGACCCCCGCGAAGACTCTCCGACGAGGGTTGCGAGGCCCGGCTCCGCCCGTTCGCCAATCGTCGTCGTCGCCCGACGTTTTGCGCACGTGCGCCCGCATTGACAGGCGAACGCGTCCGCCCAGTTGCGTTCTACGACTACGATGACCATCGACGGGTGCGAAGGGCTTTCTCTACCCCCTTAGCGCCCGCCACCCCCCTCCGTCGCTCAGCCCGCGATCGCGACGGGCAAAAATTACGAGTTATGGATCACACGTGTCCCGCGTGCGTTCGCGACTCGACGTTTTGCTCGGCGCGATAAAAAACGATCGGCGATCGAAGAGACCGGTCAGGGATCATTTAGTATCAACGATACCGGCTCGCGACAGCTCGTGGAAACTCCGAAGGAGTTTCGCGAAGTAATGTCTCGCGCCGTTCTCGTGGGTCGTTAGAATCTCTTTAACGTCGGAGACTGCCGCCGTAATCGTGACGCGAGCTTGACCGCGTGTTCATGAGAACTTACTCTGATTCGGATCACGAGTTCGACGCGGCTCTTATGAAACGTCGTGTATTTCGCTGAGGGGACTTCGATCGGCGAATTTTGGAGATTTAAGACCAGCGATGGACCGTCTGTAAGGATCGCTGAGCTCAGCTGAAGATCGAAAGGTCGCACCGAAGGAAGGAAAGAAGAAAAGAAGCGAAGATTGTCCGCGGAATCTGGAATCCGATAGAGGTAAGCGCGATTTCGCTGATGATATCATTAATTTTACGATATTTGCGGCCATTCTTACGCATTGGTGTATGATAGAAATGCGTTATATCTTTCAACGTTATATACTTCAATTGGTTAGAAATTTTATATTTAAATTCACCTATAAGTTGCTTTGCACAACACCTTGAGATACACCTTAAGGTACGCCGATAAGTCAAAATAATGTAAAAATGATGAAACAATTACAGATTGATCTATATTGCATTTAAAAGTGACATCAACAGTAATTCAGAGAGTCTGGATTCAAAGTTATTCTACTTTAAAGGAGGTTGTAAGGTGAAATAAATTTGATAAATAAGAATTCGATGAAACATGTATACGTTGAAATATTATCTAACTAGATATATATTGAAATATTATCTGACTCGCGTAGTTAAAAAAAGATTGTTCCTTCGAGAGCTGAGATATTTGTCCTCAAAACGTCGCTGAAAATACGGCATTAACGGGCAACACATCCTTGAAATTATCTGTCATTCTCCAATACCGTAGCTTAGGGAGATCAGAAATAAAAAAACCCGGAGATCAGAAATAGAAAAGCCCACGTTTTGTATAATAAGAGTAATAACGCTTTGAGTATCCAATAATAATAATAATAATGCTTTGAGTATCCAAAGTCTGCAAATTAAGGAAACAAATCACGCGTTCATATTT